ACATAAAACTTACATTCATCCCATTAGGTTTTGTTTTTAATCGATTAATAATTATGCAATAAAAACTAGAAACTGCACTTCAAAACTTCACTAGTTGCACTAGTGTTTCTGGGTTCTTCATGAAGAAGTTTTCTAACCTTTGAAGGATTCTACCCTAGTTGTGACCATTCAGAGGAGAAATCACTCTAATTTCCACATCTCTGGACTTAAATACAAAACATGTGTGGTTGGTTCGCTACTTTAAAAAGACTAGACACTGTGCACCTCAGTAAATAAGTCTCGGAAAATAACTGTTTCGCCACATTTAGTTTAAAAGGATCGTCACCATACTTCAAGTTAATGATCAAGTTAGACACGGATAAGACCGGCGGGGAACCTCGCACACACGTACATCAGTTCAGTTCGCCACAATTCACGGCAGCATGGAAAGAACAAGTAGACAGAGAAAGACACCAAAGTAAACAAAGGTGTATAGGAGGAGAAGGAATTTGAAAATGAAGGTCAGTGAGAATATTCATGCTTTGGAAGATGTCAAAGAGTAAATGCGTATGCTCCATTTTGGCGGATTTTCAGCCATGTCACCGAGGGTCTCCGACCATTCATTCCTATGATCTTGACGAACTCAACCGAGAGGCCTGTGCCTCTATAAGTGGCTAAGCTCAAGTACAGTCTTTATGAATTGGTGCTACCGTTTATTCTGGCCACTCTAAACCATCTTCCTACCCAATCCAGCTTCTCCTAGCACTGGTCACTGAAGTAGGCTGTGGTTTGGCATGGATGAAAAATGTCCAAACCGTCTGAGTCGCCGAAGATTCAGAACATCATTGAAAATGTTTCCCTCTTTGCCTAGTACCCTTCGTCTAACTTCCACATTGCTCACGTGGTGATTACACCGAATACGGGCAGTGTTTCAAAGACCCCCATGGTCAGTAACCTGGAATCTTTCCACATCAACTTTCAACAGTCGTGTTTTACAGCCGTATAACAGGACATAACTCATTCTCTGATAAGTGATTGGATATCTCACTAGTTGGCACCAGAGGTGATGCAAGTTAGCGATTGCAAAACGGGCCCTTTGTTTCCAAGCTGAGCTGAGATGAAAGCTTCACGGTTAAACAACCCAGCTCAGAGAACACAATACAACCAAGAGCTGAGATTTCGTCAGCAACCAACCCTTTCAGGCTGATGCAACTCCCTAAGTGAAGTGTCCAACGCATTTTACCACTTCATTCCCTATGATTAAATTGGGAGTAGTTGAATAATAAAGTAGTTCAACTCAAAGTTTTGCTGGTTTGTGTACTAGACTATGATCCGCACTTGCTGTGTGCGGGTTTATAATACTTACTCTGTCGCCCTGGCCAAGGTAGTTGGAACAGTGTTCCCAGTCTGGCACCCATTTCTTGAAGGTTTGAACTAGGAGGATTGTCATCAACTTCCTTAATGGTTGGCATACTACTGTCTATGTTATATACAGTACATGATGCGATGTAGATCATTTGAGTATCTTATTAATTTTACAACTATCATACTCATCACTTGTCTTGTAAATGACTGGACTATGACTCTCGATTTCTTGGATTTAATATATTTTTTATTAAGGTATTTTGTTACTTCTGCTGATGACCCATGCCTTAATTACAAATTTGCTACTGGATAGCTGAGTGTAATCATTTAAGGAGTTTTACTAATCATACACACACTTAAAAGCATACTTTGTTCACTGAATATGATTTGGCATCAGTGACTTATGGCTCATATAGCCTCTTTACAGCGAACAGTAGTTGTTAGCAGCGTACTCTATAACAACTGTATATACTGATAGGTTTTTTTAATAATAATAATGATAATTTTTTAAAAATAATAATTCACTTTATTCCAAACAATTTGTGGTACAATTTGGAATTCTCAGCGTAATATATATTGCAATAACAACAAAATATAAGTATATACATACTACTTTGCAGCCTTTTGAATTGTTTTATCATAAAAATTTATGTGAAGAATATTAAAAACCAGAAAATTTTGCATTGTAAGTTAAATCATTGAAATGAGATTTTTAACTGTCACAAAGTTGATGTGTGATTTCTGTTCTAACACTTTTTTCCTCACAAAATATGCGTGCAAGGTAAGGTACAGTCAAATTCTTATACTTAGCTGTACGAGCATACAGTCTTATGTAGTCTCTCCTTGTCCTCCATAAGGAGATACATGGAGAGAGCTGTGAATGAAGTGGATGCTCACTGTCAGTTAAAATTTCTGTAGCTAGTTGCTTGCAGGAATTTATATGTCGATCAACTACAGTGTTAATCAGTTGAGCCAGAGACACACCACTCACCCTGCTGACGGTCTTCAAAGCCCTACGCAACATAACATAGTCCTTTTTAAGAAGACCAGGAAAGATTAATGGGGAACAATATAGAAGAATAGGTCAAATGCAGGAATTAATAAATTGTAAAAGAAGCAGTTGAGTTATACCAGAAAGCCTCAGTTTCTTCAATGTAATAAGTTAAACGAAAGATTTTTTTACAAGTCAATAAAATATAGGACAACCAACAAAGGTCAGAAGTAAAACGCAACCCAAGATAGTTCACACTCAATTTACTTTCTGCAGAAATACCATTGATGCAGCAGGCGTCATGAGATTTAAGCAGCTCACATAAGTCTTGTTTACGCCTGAGGCTAAAATTAACAGTCTGACATTTAGAGGGGTTTAGTCTGAGACCATTTGCCAACTTCTGACAAGAATTCATTTAATTTAGACCAGTCCAAGGAAGAGTTGACTGGAATAGAAACCATCAGGTCATCAGCATACTTGATAAAATTAGTTTCAACAGAATAAGGCAAATCGTGCAAAAAAAGGAAAACAGAAAAGGAAAAAGTACAGCACCTTGAGGCACACCAGCTTCAGTAAGCAATGAAGTGGAGCGCATCCCTTTATGGATAGTGTACTATTTCCTTCCAGAAAAATAAGAATGCAGCCACTTTGTAACCCATGGATCAGTGTGAGCTATGGCAAGCTTATTTAACAAAAGTGGTCTAGGAACAGAGTCAAAGACTGATGAGTAGTCCAAAAAGGCACAACGAACATACTTAACACCGTTGTCGATACTAGAAACAATATTATGATGTAAGACAGCGGCAGCATCTAAAGCACTCCTCCGGTGTTTGTAAGCAAACTGTTTTGGATCTCTGAAGGCCATCATGAAGGCTCAATCACAAGGAGAAGTAATTTCTCCATTGTCTTCAGAAAAGGAGAAGTTATAGTGATGGGTCGAAAAGTAACATCTGATCCAGAAGATGGCTTAGGCACAGGTACAACTTTTATCTGCTTCCAAGCAGTGGGTATTATGTTTTTAGAAAACGATACATTGAAGATATCTGTAAGTGGATGACACAAAATATCTGCACATTTTCTAAATATGATACTAGAAACACCGTCAGGACCTAAGCTTTGGGAGGGATTCAAAGACTTTAGACATTTAAATACATCAATTGTATCAAAACATGGAAAGCATCTATCCACTTGATTTTGGACATTAGGAATGGTGAAATTAGTTTGCCAACGTGTAAATGACTTGTTTAACGCACAGACATCCGAACGAGTTTCTTTTGTTATCTGTTTTTTACCAGTAAGGTCTTCTGGCTGTACATAGTATTCAGACGTTGTATTTCAGGCTTAATTAGGTAGTTAAGCCTTTTAATGCCAGGGTGATCTCTTGCCTTATACAACCTTTCGTTTTCTCTCCGGAGCCTCTTGAGATGAAGAGAAGAAAGTCTGTCAGATCTCATGTAAATTGTTTCAGTAGGGCAGCAGATATCGAAACAGAATGAGATAGCTTGTGATATTGGTAATAGTGTTGTCTAAAACTTCATCAGCAAATATATCCCAGTCCGTTTCTATAAACATGCTTCTCAAATGTAATATATTTTCTTGTGAATAGCATCTGTATTGAACTTTCCTGGAAAGGTATCCGAAAGCTTTCTTGTATAATTTGCCGTACACTTTAGGCAAAACACAAACAATACAGTGATCGGAATTTAGCAGCGGAGCCCGTTTATGGGCTTCGTATATACCAGGTTCATTTGTAAATGCAAAGTCTAGGGTGTTGTCAAGACGAGTGGAAAAGTTAACCATATTTTTTTGAGTACATTTCTGTTTAGTCCGTATGACAGACACGTAGTCAGATACAGGGTCACTCGGAGTCTCATAAGCGACAAAATTTAGATATAAGATTCATCCGACGGATGCCTACACCACTGACACTCATTCAACTCTGATTTTCCACTTTTTAGCTGCTGACTTAATGAGATTAACACAGAATGTGAAATGATCGAATAGCATTCAGCCAGTTCTTTGTAGAAATTTAAGAACTCTCCGTACTCGAACTTTACAGACGCAGAGGCTTATCATTGATTTTTAGTACTTGTAGAATACGCGCGAGTGTGAGACCAAGAACGAACAAAATAGGGCAACCAAGTAGTAATAGTTTATTTGATAGACTACCAAAATACTGGATGGCGTCGATACTTGACCATGTACCTTCAGTTTAGCAAATCTGTTAAAACTATGAAGGTCAGAATCAATGTTGAATCTCGTCTAACCCTAGACTACTAATTTTGAGGAATTATTTGCCACTTCAGACATATTTTAAATGAAAGTGGAGTGGAATCATTGTTTAGTGAATGGATACACTATTTACGATATGTTTATTTCCTAGATTACATCATCACTTGTCCAGTATTGTTGCATTTTGTTATAACTAGTAATATAAACGAAGTATATTAGAATAATTTTAGAGATTTTTTAGGTGGTGTGAATTAATAGTTTTCATTTATTTCTCAATCATTTCATAATTTTCTTACTAGGTACCTATATTACCCTTATCGAATGGAAATCTTGTTTTGTGAATGCATGTAATTCAACACAAGTAGACAACGTGATTTTGAGTTGAATCTTTTGGTAGGGGAAGTGACGGGGTTACAAAGCCAATTGCATTAAAATGAATATAAAAAGTAACTTGGTATTCTTTTTATCATACATTTTCTTTAGAGTTGATAGAGCAACGAGCTAAAAGTAAGATAACAAAAGAAAAAGCACAACTGACATTAATGATAGCAGCAATTTACTCTGAACAAGGTAATTGAATAAATTCAAGCTAATAAAGTTAACTTTCCCAATCAGGTGATCATGAGTCCGCGTTAATTGAATACAAAAAATATCTTGAAATATGGGAAGCCAAAGAAGATAATCTTCAACGTGCAATAGCCAATAGATACTTGGCAGAGTGTTATATTGAAGTGTGTGATTTTACGCAAGCAATTGTTCACACTAATCGATATCTTCAATTATCTCTGCTAGTTGACAATAAAATGGAACAACAAAGAGCCTATGTAACACTTGGAAGATGTTTCTTAAATCGTGTTGAAACTTTAAAGGATGGTCCTTTAGTCGTTAAAAGTCTTAAATCTGCTAGTCAAGCCTTATTGAATAGTATAAAATTAATTAAAGATTTATCGTCTAACTTGGACGCTAAAGGTTCAGCTGAAATGCGTGCAGTGTCATTACTTAATCTTGGTAAGTTTGAATTCTGCTAACACTGAATACTTTAGGTCATGTCCAGCGTGCACAACACAATCACACTACAGCCTTAGAGAGTTTTATTCAATGTATTACCTTAGCGAAAAAGTATACTTTACAAAAGATTCTTTTTCGTGCTTCTTATCAAGCTGGTGAAATGTTAATGAATAAAGCTTCAATATTCAATTTTAATCTATGTGAACGATATGAATTTTTAAAATTAATAAAAAATAGTGAAATAGAGAAAGCATTAGAAATTATTCGGTAAGATTTAAGCATTAATCTAATGAAAAGTATTTTGTTTAGGACTAGTTTATCCTTACCATTGACTAAACCATATGTGGATAATGAAGCGAAATTGTTGTGTATAAATTTGAAAGAGTTATTTGCTCAGGTTTGGTATTTATTTCATCTTTAGAATATTATTCAATTGATAGGTATACCTATGTAACGGGAATAGTCGTAAAGCAATTAAGATATTTCGTCTATTGAAGATTGAAACGCCTAGTTCATCAGAACAATATACAAAAATGATGAAAAAAAGTTAGTTTATATTATGTATGCATGATATTGCTTATTATATTTGAAGGTTTTCGACTCATGAATTTATTGAATGAAATTCCAAATGAATCTCTGTCTAGCACAAAGGATTTTATTACATCATCTCGTATTCATGAAAAATTAGGTGATCTTTATGCTGGAATCGATTTACAAGGTTGTGCTCTCAGACATTATCTATTCATGGTAAGCTATTTGATATATTGTCTGTTTAATATATGACTGTAATTAGCCTATTGATTAATGGGATTAAATTTATGGGTATATCTCATCAAAACAAACGGAATCGAATGTACAGAATAAAAGGAGCGGATTTTTAAAATTTTTTCAAACCTATCTTGCATGTTATGTATCACACTGGTCACCGTCTTTTCTCTTTACAAACGCTTCATTCTATTATTTTATCATTCTTTTTATTATTTTGGAACCCATCACTTACCTTGATGTGCATAGCTTGGGTAAGTTGAATATATTGGAAGAGGGTTCAAGGTGACCAGATTAAGACGTGGTACCAGCCCATTAAGGTCTTCGACTATTGATCTTAGTCGTGTGTGTGTGTGATGTAGGACTAATTTGTTCGGTACGGATCCTTATCTTTTCTCAAACTGGATGTCAAAACGATACTTAAAGTTAAGGATTCGCTGTGATTGTATAGCAGTTGGATTTGCCAGATCTGTTTAAGAGGTTGACAGAAAATAATGAACACAGATGATTTTCGCCAACTTACACTAATAATAGCACCCCTGTGATATCCGATTGCATATTATGGGTCCATTATATTACGTTGCAGTTCGCTCTGTCCTGTTATATGGCTTTGAAAAGTGGCCGATAAAGGTAGTCGGGATGAAGAAAAACTGCCTTAAAAATGTGGGGAAATGAGAGTCTCCCATGCCCTTTATTCTGTGACATCCACAGATTCTGCGAAAAAATACCGACCTGATCTCACAAACTTCTACAAATACGGTTTACTCTTTATATCTAATTGTCTCTCTTGACTCTTGACACTATCGAAATGTACTCAACAATCACACAGATATTTGTGCAATATCCCCACCAACTAACTATGTGAGTGTTAATGATACTACCCGATTGCCGAGATCTCGATAAATGGAATGAGGCCGGAACCCGTGACACAGTGGTGACAAATCGACAGGCTGTACACTAATGAGCCGCAACTGCACGAAAACAATGGGCCCAGCCGGGATTCGAACCCGGGACCACTCGCACCCAAAGCGAGTATCATACCCCTAGACCACTAGGCCGATGTTCGCGGTCTTATTTCTCGTTGCTTGAATATCTACCGATTATCCGATTAACTTGTTTTTGTGGTTCGGCGGTAACTTTTCTAGACGGTTTAGTGCGTGTTTATGATTCCACCATTGATGATATAGAATGACTGATTTAAAAGCATGTTCGATCATCCTTGCCTTCGTAGCATAGGTCATGTGTCATGACGCCACTACGTCAGTAATGTGAAACGCAGAAAAAAAAGCTAGTTGACGAGGTTGCGAACCTTCATCACCTGAAATGGCTAGGATATGCGTGTTATGCACGTCTTTTGTCCGTTTATCTTGTTGCACAATGTTGGTTGAAGTAGATTCAGGTTACATTAGTGTTAGAAGTGGTCAGAGTAAAACATGGCATCACTTCATCAGGTCTTTGACTATTGATCTGAGTTGTTTAGGGGAATACAGACTTTCTGGTTTGTGTCGGCGTGACAACAGACACCAGCAGTTGACGATGATATTTAACATGGCTCGAAATCGCTGTCAGTAGTGCAAATGTATCCACACTTTTTCTCGGTTTTAGTTGTCCTACTGAGTTTCAGTATTCTTTCCTTCTTCCACCTTGTTCTCTATTCACCACTTTTGATTGCTTTTGTCTTCGTTTCTTTGTACTTAGTCTTCGTGTTTTCTCATTTGATGTTCTGATATCACGCATGGCAACTTGGACCGCTACGTAGTTAATATCTGTTCCTATGTTGATATTATCTGCTTGTCTGGTGGAAGACCCCAGGAGTATAGAATGAATTTAGGATATTTATTCATCACCACTATTTAGTTTGCTGAGGAGTCCCATACTAGGACGAAACAGCTGTCCAGTGCTCCCAGGTTTCCTTTGTTCCTCCAACTGATGTCAGTCTACGATGAATAACAACTTGAAGTAATAGGTATGGTTTTAAAAATACTTTAATGACATTCATAGAAGATTATTTATAGTTTGAACACTAACTTCGAAAAATTTATGGTAAGTATAAGTTAGGTTTGATGTAATTCTCTACTATTCTACCAACGAATAAAACCGAATAATCTTCAGGGTTATCTAACAGGCTAAGGATCACACTTGTAGTATCGTAGTCTATGAAACTACTTAGTTTCTCAGACCAAAGTAGGTAGATGGGATTTGGACTCCAAACTCATTCCTTTAAATTCAAGTTTTTTAAGCAAATGCACCCCCCAGATGAACTATATTTCAGTTTGTCGATGACATTGATAGAGATTTTTTCCTAACTATACTGCAGTATCACACGTTCAAATAACCACTCAATCTATGTAAAAAATGTGAACATGGAAATACTATATCTGCTAATTTTATTATGATCAACTAGAAGGTTTAGTTGTACTCTTAATATTTAATCGGGGAATGCCTTTTTTTAGAAATAACCGAACAAGTCTCTTATTTATTCAAAATTCCTTTTGTTTTAATGTGAAATGAGAACTATAACACAATCAGTGTATAGGTATTATATACTGAAATCTCATCGAAGTGAGGTTGATACTGCACAGTAGTCTACGTGTTATTGATGCGTAGATCTATTATGTCTCGTTGTTTATTATACTCTGGAAATTGTATGGTTATGATTCAGTCATTGGATGCACCAAGTGGTTTCCTGTGCGAGACAACACAACCAAGAATTCAACAAGATAATAAGAACCGATTGGATTTATTTACTGTTAGGATAATTCATAAAACCAGACTCAAAATGCATGATATTTATAGCATCTCTTTTAACATTCATAAGATAGTCAGTAGAATGATTTAGTATGGTATAAATTTTAGTCAGTCGATTTGTTTTTCTTAGCAATGCAGACGAATGAGTTCAATTATTGGTGACTTGGATATGTGTAGTATATTGTTTGACGAAATAGGTTTAGGTTCGAAGAGGGTTCACCGTGGCTAGACCAAGACATGAGACCAATCGATGAAGTCATTCACTGTTGATCTGATCTGCGTAGGGAAGTGTAGACCATTCGCCTGGGGTCTCTGAGAATATAGGAATCAGTGGTAGAGGACTCTCGGTAACATGGGTGAAAATCGGTCACTGTGATGTAGATGCATTCACTCTTTCATGTCTTCTGAAGCTTGAATGTCTTGACTAACCTTAATTTTTAAATTCCCTCTTCTCCCATACCCCTTTGTCTACTTTGATATCAATCTTCTATATCCACTTGTTCTTTTCATGGTGCTGTGAAGTGTATCAACGTGAACTGATGCACTTCTGCGCGAGATTCTCCGTTGATTTTCTGTCTGATGAAGCAAAATATAAAAACGATAATATACCACTACTTTTTAGTAATATCGATTATTGATGTTAGACTTATTATGTAGATGCGAATATTGTCCGCAGCTCACTAACTAACTGACCGATAAGAGGTTAACTCATTATTTTTTGCCCGCTTTTCTATACATTTTACAGCTTGGGTTTTCTGAGCTTGCCTATCAACATTGTTCTGAAACAGAAAGTGTTACAGATGACATTGTCAAGCTAGTCGACGCTGCTCTAATATCTGTAGCTGAAACATATCGTACACTCGGCTATTATGATAAATGTGTAGAAATGTATAAACGTGAAATTCTCTGGGCTACAACTTCTGGCTTATCTACAAGTGATATGGCTACAAGTTGGCTGAGTTTAGCACAAGCTCAACGTTTAATGACGAGTGCTAGTGGTTCAACAATTCAGGATACTGGAAATTTTCAAGTTGGCCAGAAGATTACTTTGAATGGATCAGAAACTGTTGTGGATTCATTGTTGTCTGCTCACAAAACTGCTAAACTGGTCGGTTCCACATCGCTAATTGTAAGTGTAACACATTATTATTATTATTATTATTATTATTATTATTATTATTATTATTATTATTATTATTATTATTAAAACACACACGTGGTACAACAAGAGCACCAAACAATGCACGACACAAAACAGTAGAATAACAGTGTGAAGACAAACAGTGGGAAGTGGATAAGTAAGAAAAAAAACGATAAGAATAGCATGATTAGAAGGGCAGTCCAGTAGGATACATTCAAAACAGCAGAAGAAGATAGGAGGAAGCTATAACATGATTGCCACCGGTTTCGATTCTGAGTCATATCTGATAGCGTCTCAAGCCACTGAGTTACGCGATCTCTCGGACCCCCCCAGGGAGTCAGGATGTACCAACAGATGCTAACCCCATGAAACTATCCTTCCTCCTACGACGCCACGTCACACACTGACCACCCGTCGACTTTTCCATTCAGTCCCAGGGTTGGCAAACAATGAAAGGTGTGGAAACCGTTGGACGATATGCGTAAGACATCTACAAGTCATTCAAGCTGGTGTTTCCAGATGACTTTACTCATTAGATGACGATGTCCTTAATGCCCAAACACACTTTGTCGTACCTCAGAATTACTTACATTGTGTTACCAGTGAATACGAGGAGTCCTAAGGAAACAGTGATGATCGAACACAGCGTCGTCGCACTTCCTCAGCTCAGAGAGACCAAGTTTCACAGGCGTAGAGCAGAACTGGTCACACTGAAACATCGTAAATTCTACCTTTTACGTCAAACTAACGTCGCGACGGCACTAAAGGTGACTCTCAGACTGACGTATACCACTCTTGCTTTTGATATGCGGCTGGAAATTTCACTCTTTAAAACAAAGTTGTTATTCTATGTCTTTTTTAATGCGAAAACAATCTGATAATTGTTTAGAAATTGTAATTCGAACCTATGACCCATCGGTTGAAAATCTCCCCAAACCAATGAGCCACAGCTCCGTTACTACACTGGCCATTAGAAGAAAACTTGCTATAAAATATTAAATGCTAACCCAAAGAGTATTGTAAATAGGAGTATCCGAGATATTTAGACTGCAGAAATACACATAATTGGTTGTATGTTGACATCATGTGTGATGAAACAGCTGGGAATCGATGTCAGTGGCGCAGATGTATTTACACTTTATCTTCATGTTAACCACTTTAATGAATTCATCATTTTCTCACTCCTTCTTCTTGTCTTACTACTTTCTTACTGCTTTTGACCGATTTTCGTTCCTTCTTCGTCTTTCATCAGTTCTTTATCAGTCAGTATGCTGGTATTAGTTGTGTTGTGGCAACTTGGGCGATTACGCAATAATGCCTGGTCCTTTACTGCTGCCACTGATGATACCTGAGTTAATCACCATTGGATAACCCATGTAGTTATTGTCTAGTCTCCGTGCCTTACACTGCTGGAAGTTTATCGACCAGGTTTTTCAGTGCATCCAGTAAGCGAAGTGACACGACACTGCGGTCACTGTTCATCAGTTGCATAAAGAAGACTTGAATACACATGAAGAACAGCAATGAAGGTTAAATAAAAAATTACGTAATATATGAAAGAATATAGATCCATAAAACTGAAATGAACTGAATGAGTTTAAATCAATGGGTAAGTCAACTAAAGGTTACATCATTGAAATGGAACAAGATAAAAGTGCAGTCATTATGGAAGTGAGAGATTGATCACACTCTATCTTTGTACACATAGGTCCAGATTTATGGAGATCGCTTCGACGACGCTTAGTAGTGCTGGTATTTTCTGCACTTTCGGTATTCTTGAAGCCTTCAGAGAATCAAGTTTATGTCACATATCCAAATGGTGGTGTTTGTTGGTTGTTTTCTTTCAAACATGAGCTATTTGCATTGTTTACTGAAAATCAGATGGAGGCTTTTCTCTGAGTTCTTTCAATGCATTTGCTAACTGAAGTACATTGGAATGCGTGAACTTAATTGGCGGCAACGTGAGCAGGATATTTATCCACTTTAGACTGGTTGAATGAGTATACGGTGTGCTCTTTTTATGTTCATATCTACTCTCTCACATATTGTATCTTCTTTCAATGCAAGATGAAGAGGAACTCTCTTCTTTTCAACAGTTGTGTGTTTAGTTCTTTAATCTATCCTCTTCTGTACTTCATAATAAATCATTTGAGGCATCTTTCTCTCTGAGAGAGACACTTTGCTATTGTTATTATTGACATGAGATAGTATGCTGCTCCTGTACCCGAATCGTGGCAGGTGGTTTATCCTTAAACGGGAACCCTTGACATTTGATTTAGGAATGTGATCTAAGATAGACGACAGATCAGTATAGACTGGTGCATTCACCAGACGTCAAGTGATCGATACACGTCAACACATGATTGGTTACTTTAGATTCCTTGAAATAACCTGCATCCGGTGTTTTGCGATTTGGGTAGATAACCATCCTCGTGTACCCACCAGTCGGGTGTCTGTTTCAGGCAACATATATAACGTCAAGGGTACTGACTGACTGTTAAGGAACTCCAGATTTGGATGAACGAGTGGTTTTCCAATTGTCGCCAGTTTGTTGTTAAGCATGCTTTTAAATCAGTCATTCTATGTCATCAATGGTGGAATCATAAACACGCACTAAACCGTCTAGAAAAGTTACCGCCGAACCACAAAAAAAGTTAATCGGATAATCGGTAGATATTCAAGCAACGAGAAATAAGACCGCGAACATCGGCCTAGTGGTCTAGGGGTATGATACTCGCTTTGGGTGCGAGTGGTCCCGGGTTCGAATCCCGGCTGGGCCCATTGTTTTCGTGCAGTTGTGGCTCATTAGTGTACAGCCTGTCGATTTGTCACCACTGTGTCACGGGTTCCGGCCTCATTCCATTTATCGAGATCTCGGCAATCGGGTAGTATCATTAACACTCACATAGTTAGTTGGTGGGGATATTGCACAAATATCTGTGTGATTGTTGAGTACATTTCGATAGTGTCAAGAGTCAAGAGAGACAATTAGATATAAAGAGTAAACCGTATTTGTAGAAGTTTGTGAGATCAGGTCGGTATTTTTTCGCAGAATCTGTGGATGTCACAGAATAAAGGGCATGGGAGACTCTCATTTCCCCCACATTTTTAAGGCAGTTTTTCTTCATATCCCCGCGAAAATGTTGATTGGAGATACTCAATATTTGTAGAAAGATAACGAGTGTTTGTATTTATGGCCAAATAAAATGAGTGCAACTCATGTCGATACAGGCGCTTCTATACTCTAGGCTCTTAGCCACAGTTGTCAGTCAAAATTTCCACTGAGGGAAACGAGTAACGATAGAGGAAAATTGCACTAGAAATCCGAGCAAATTTAGAGATTCCCTCCTGTTTTCCCCACCTCTAGTCCTACGTTTGGTCATTCATTATTCAGCTTAAGTAGCATATAGCTTCACCCTTGTTTCTTCGGTCCACATTATTTCAGAGACTAAAATCCTATTTTATTGGACCTATATAACTCAAAGCATTAGTTACAGGTTGCTATGTTAAAAAGGAAGGGGAAACCACCTTTCATGTCTTTTTATTTGCAGTATCTTCAGGGAAATTTTGGTTAGAATAGTGAAAGCCTTTAGTTGAAGAGGAGAGGAGTTCCTGTATAAAGTCACTAAGCCTACTGTAGGTACTTAACATCCGCACCACATGATACACCGGGTTACGCTTATTCTGCAAGCCATCTACTGTGTTCTTTCCGAAATTAACGCAAACCTGTAAGTGATTGGTGGTGGTCATTTGTTGTATCTAGTGTCCGTTTTCTGCATTTGTCAACTACTACTTTGGTTTGCCATATATCAGCAAATAGTCCCTCTAAATCAGAAGCCTAAAGTTCGACAATACACAACACTGATGCTGGTTCTTATAGTTTTAATGGACTGGCTAAACTGCAGGTACAAATAGTCAAGCATACACGCCACTTTCCACGTTGTCGTGTTTAGTTGTATCGCTCTTTCCTGACCTCCTTGCCAGCTGGTTAACTCATCTCAGCATATAGATACAGTTCATCAAATATATGATTCCTACCTGTCTACTCCAGTGTGTTCTTTCTTGGTTTTGTAGTCGACCGTGTTCAGTAAATACAAAGAATTAATGGTGGGACTATACTTCTGTCAACATCGCATATAGACGATGCCTATAGCCAAGATACTTTATTAGATGGTCATTTTAATATGATAGAGAAACGAATGATAATTGGTATCTGAAATTCGCAAAATATTTCGATACCACTAATCTGCATCGCTATAGCACTTTGTTGGTTGCAGTATGCTTTAAAGTAGTATGACGGTAGATGTGAAAATTTTGCTATCACATATTTTAATAATGACTTATTTCCAGCCGTTTTACCTCTTCACGTTTGCTTCTGTGCATTTTGAAGTGATTTTGGGTCTTATGCTGGTTTCATTTGTGACCCGAAAAACACGGGCTCGAAAAAACGTTATTGAATTACGGGGTCAACAGAAAATTGAGAATACGTGGTATAAGTGGTTGAGTGACAGGAGTCAACGAACGCTAAGTCAGTGTCTAAGTTTGTCTTACATTAATGAACACTAAGACAGCTTATGAATAAAAGCAGCAATTCGTTTTGTACTATAGTGGTACAAAGAAGAACCAGAATGCAATAGGTTCGCTATGTGGACACAGTTTGTGTGATGTAAATAGTACATATATGAACATTAGCAGCTGAAATCACCTAACACCTAACATTCTCTGCAAATCTGTCTTTAAGAATTCGTCAGGAATAATCTATCACAACTATGAGATCATTGACCATGTTCAGAAGACGATAATTCCAAAAGTGACTAATGAGATTTATATTTCTTTAGGGACTACTCTTATCAAGTCTTCAATACTTTATCAGACATAAACCAGGGTTTTCTTTCTCTAATACGTTTACCCTTCATTTCTCTACAAGCTACTGACAAATTGTGAGTAGTTTGCAATGTAATGAACAAGTTTTGGCCTTGCATTTTAGCCCCTTTTCCTCTCAATTTTGCGCATTCGTAAATGGCTCAGTGTTTTGCCTTGAGTCTACTAAGGCTTGCCCAAAAATTTGTTTTCGGCCTCACTTTGTCGTGGACTTCACTGTGAAAAATTCGGCGTATTGTGCAAGGGTCAGTGAAACTGTTAGACGGCCGGAGGCAATTGGCTGAAAGCCTTTCATCTAGGTTGACACTCGTCAGCAGAGTTTCCTGCTAATGTCGCTTGATAGATTCTAATCTGCCTCACTCAGTGATGGAGCCATAGACGTTTCCGTTGACCTATTCTGGATAACGATACTGTTCGGTTGACCAGGTAGCGAGACATTTTAACACGAGTCACATTAGTTTAAAGTTGGACATATTTAGTTCAGTTCGACTAATTTTAAGTGTCATCCTCCAGTTGCCCTAACCACTAATTATTTCTTACCTCTTATACTCTAAGGTAACAGTTTAATTTAAAACCTGACTACCGCATAACGGTTCAAGTAGCCACAGCGCATATTAGAACATCAATTGCGAATGCAACAAGATTAAGCAAAAGGCAATAAAGAAAAAAATAGTCGTAAGTTGTAGAAAGTAGTGAGAAGAGAGAAGGGTGGAAAGAGTAAATACTGAAATTCAGTAGGGTAATTACGACGAAGAAAATGTGTGAATGTATCTGAGCCATTGAGATCTATTTTATACAACCAACACTATAATAATTGTAATGATGATAATCGCTTTGATAAGTTGTTGCTCTGTATCATTCTGATGACTCTGAGTCTTGTTTTCGCCCTATTTATGGTTTGATACACTAACGTTAGCTGTGGCTTGATGTGTACGACGTATATCCTCACCAGTTCTGTCGATTAAGGCTCACAAACTAATTACGGTTACACTTAACCAAGTCACTTCTCTCATCTGATTATCCAGTGACAAAGAATCAATATGTTAAATGCTTCGGTCGTAAAATACGTGTGGTTTTGACACGTCTTCGATTAATATCAACTTTCGATGATAATCATATTCCATTAATCCCTGTGAATATTATTATTATTTTTCTTAGTTGGATTGTCTACGAGAATTACTGGATTACTATGAACAGTATAATTATAAAGATCAGGCCCAGAAAGTACGTGAAGAATTAAAAGAAATTGAAAAGACTGCTGGTTCTCGATTTGATGGAGAAGAAAATGCAAAAGATGCCGTCGACGACGATGAGGAGAAAGTAGATGACGAGGAGGCGGATAATGATAAGAATACTCCAAGTGAAGACGATGATCATATTGTGACTCAGTTTTTGGAATCTCTTTCCTCAGACTCAGGTTAGATATTGTAATTGTTAGTCGCTTACGCCTGCAAATATCATGAGTGTTTTTTCTGATGTCATTTGATTTGACAATTGTTATGGTATGCGAGTTACGTGACATATGATTAAAGCTTTTGGCATAAAAGGAGCCATTTCAATCAGGATAGTGTTAGGGATGCCTAATCCTTAAGAAATATATATATATATATATATATATATATATATATATATATAATCACTGTAAAATTTAAACCTTACTTTTACCGCAGTTTAGGATACCAAACACTGATTGGTCCGTCTTACGGTTGTAGTGTGGTATTTTGTTTTTCCTGGCCAAAGCTGCCTAACGATGTATAAACGACTGAGTTTTCAGCTATGAAATTATTCGGTTGGAGTAAATATACTTTCAATCCAATCGTCTTCTCCTGGTGTCAGGTGAATATTGAGTTGAGAGGTCATTGTTCTGTCGTTAGTCGTATCGCTTCCGAGCACTTTGTCATTATATATATATATTATATATATATATATATATATATATATATATATATATATATATATTTATATATATATATATATATATATATATATATGGTTCATAACAGATAAACTTTATGGATGCAGTTTTGTCTGTTGTCTGTTGATTTTATCCGAGGTATTGGTTATTTAACAGGCGCACCTGACTATTACCAAGATATAGATGTTGGGCAACTGAGGGCCGATTGAACTCTGCTTCATAGTGTTTCTACCCTACGTTCTAGCTGCCTGTCCCGGGATGTTTTCGGCGTCTCACCATCGTTATCCTTTTGATGGTATCCTTAATAAGCCAGAATAGTTGTCAAGTGTTACCTGAAGCTGATGTCTTCATCTCTTGCTTTCGCCAGCCACCATCCCTGGTGATCATTGTGAAGACTGTTGGTCAATTTGCGCTTGAGCTGCTTTCACTCTTCGTCATGGTCAGAGTCAGTTAAGATCAGTCTTCTCACATCAATCAGTTCGAATAATGTCGTGAGAGTCCAATAAGGTTTTCTAACCTTCGAGCGTAGGTTACCAACTGCTTTTACCGCTGTCTTAACAGCAGACTTATTATCACGCCTGGTTTCCTCAGGATGGGCACTGCTGTCATGTTGAGATAAATGCTTAGCCCACTCCTCTCTAAATGCGTACTTAGCGTACTCATATACCATTCGAACACAGATAGGTCACATTGTCTCCTGTTCCCTGTAACCAATAAGGTGAAGACATACACGAGCCCGTACTACCGCGTGCTCGGAGCCCTAACTGGTACTCCAGGAAGAGCAACAATCCACCGATCCTCTCCAACAATGGCTTATAGCAATCTGATCTATCTGTGATCATCGTTGGTTTAATGTCGGTGGATGCCATGTGAAACATTATCTCTCTTTATGCCTAAAGATATTGCTTACCTGAAACAAGTGATTATCGGAGTAAAATTGCAACAGACGATCACCCTTGTTTAGCATAGGATTCCGTACTTTCCTCCAAGATGCCTTTCCGATTGGTTCAACTTCCTGACTTGAGCGTCAAAATCACTTGTCATTATAACTACATCTGAGCTCCTTGCTTTCTGTAGCAAAGTTAACAGCTCACAGAATTCATCATTCGCATCATCCGAACTACAGTCAGTGGGTGCGTAGGAGGAGATTACGAATATGCATCACATAGTCTCACGATCTTTCCTAGTCTTTAAAGATCCATTGAGTCAAACAACACATAGACGACTGTTTACTGGAATCCAGTCGAGAAGCGCACTTTCTACCCTACAACTTAATGCTGTGCCTACACTAGTGAGTCCATGAGAGCTAGCCACTGAGTCTCTGGATTCCCGTGTGGTGAATTTTGAAGAGTCACTACTATGTTCAGGTGAGGTCAAATTAATAACTGCACTCGGGTCCTGTATACGTGTCTCAGAGACACAGCATACAACCATGGCAAGAGATTTCAGAGTTATAACGAGCAATGCTTACTGTCCGATTTGCCATAGAGTTCAGATGTCGAAAGCTCTTACATGAAATCGATGGCGGGGTCTTAGGAGACTAGGAATGAGGTTTCTATGGGTCTGATCGTTGTCAATGGTTAAGGAGGATGTGAGAGGTCTAATATTAGTATCAAAAGGTGAAAGCAAAGAAGGAACCAGTTGAGGAAGATAAGTCATGTTTGACTGGGTCTTGTGCACTATTGGAAGTGTATGGGTGGTTGACACTTTCCGACTGCCTACACCATGAAAGGTTATTTCTTATAAAGGCACCCAAAAGAGAGAAAGATTTTTGTGACTGCAGAGTCCATGGGACATCTGCTTGAGGCTTGTCACTCACGGTCTTTCTTAGGATGTTGTTTAGAGGTTTGACTGTTCTAACGCTGGGTAGATAGAACTTATTCCCCTTCAAGTAAGTGACCGGGGGGGGGGGGTTGGTAGTGGATGTGCAATTTTCGAGGTCGACATTTCCTTCCTAGCCTTTCCGTAGGGAAGGCAGCATCAGCGTAACACTGGCGGTTATTCAAGAGAATTTCCTTACTGCTTTCATACCTCATCCAGCCTGCAGTATAACTTTACCCTCAGACCTCTGTTATAGCGTAGCGATTTATACTACACAGATAAACGCCTTGCGTCTAACCATTGTCCAACAGGCCTTTCTGATGTGGCAGAACCTTGAGAGAAAGGGCGCTCCACCAGCATAGCTCGTTGGGTCATTGTGATATGCAAGCCCAAGCACCACGTCAATCAAGGTAGCTGGTAAGCGATTCACGTTCAAGAAGTCTCATAGAGTTACTAGTCTTTTAGCGATTAGTTATATTGTTTACATTCCTGTATTAGGTTGAGTATTGATGGTTTCGTAATCATGTGATAATTTTTTAGTGGAATTTGTTAGACTGTTCATTCGTTAAAAAGTGTATAGCATCCATTAGCCTTTTAAATACTTGAGTGCCTTACTGTAAATCCTTTTTCCTGCTTTAGAAATTGAAATGACTACCATTGCATCTACTTTATTACTGTTTGTTAAATATTTTGTAAGTCAGTAACGCTGACCGCGTATTATGGAGTTTCTCATCACAGAATGTTTACTAGTACTCTCTCTGTCTACCTGTCTCACTCCCTGTCAATAAAACAAGGGACCAGTGTTTCAGGGGTTTGAAGTTTTATTGCCCAAAAACTTATCTGTCTATTTGCTTCGCTCTACCAGGAACTTTAGAATAAGGAGACTAGCTTATGTGACATACTTTGAAGTTAACCAATTGCACAAGGGGGCTGAAAAACAAGGAGAGCAACATTGAAGACTTAATAACTGATTGCATCAGTGTGCAAAAGAACTGAGGTGCGTAACACTGAAATCGACTGGAAGGGTTGAAAGCAGTAGGCAAGTGAATCGAAAGATTATGCCAAGAAAATGAAAAAAAAATGGAAATGTAGTCACAATGGAAATGGGAGATTGGTCACATTTTCAATCTCCTTGAACATAGATCTGGATTTATAGCTATCACGTCCACAACGCCTAGTAGTGCAGACATTTTCTAGTAGCATTCAGAGAAACAAGTGTATTTCACATAGCCAAGTAGTGTCTACCGATTGTATTCTTCGGAAACCTGCTTTTCTTCAGACAAATTATTTGGATTGTACGTTGAAAATGAAACAGAATGAACTAATGCGATCTTGTAATGATACTTGTAATTTCCCCTTGCTATACAGGGCCGAACTGCTCGACCTCTGTTGGCAGATTGGCTCCTATGCACATGCCTCGATACCGCTGAATATTCATGATGTTTTTTTGATCTTCGTGACTAGCAGAGAAATCCAGAACGCGCATTTCGTCCTATTTGGGATTCGTCAGGTGGATATGCCTGCACCCCAGTGAGTCATGTTATTTCCATCGGGGCTCTCGTACCCCAGTGGCTTACTAGATAACGCTCTGGCATTTGGAGCGAAGAGTACTGGGTCTTTGATTCCTCTGCTAGTCCTCAAGATTAATATCAGGCGATCTTGTTTCAGAAACGCTTGAAGTTGAAAGGTTACCCTTAAAGGAAGGCAGAAAGTGTATGTTCACTTCTGGAACTTTGAAGATAAAAGTGTTGTCCAGTGTTTTGTTTGGCGTGGTAAGTGGTATTTAATTTATTTGATTACAAATGCAGTTCTAAATATACCTAGGAAATCCATCTTTTTTTCTTATCTTCTATTTTCGTAGAAGTAAACTGAACTCATCCGATTGCCTTTCACTTTTTATATTGTATCACTAAGACATGCACAAGAAGCTAAGTCACAGAACAGTTTTGAATAGCTTCATTCTTATGGGTGTATACCCAAAGAAGAGCTAGAGGAGTGTGAATGCTCACTGTTGAAATGCTCATTATTCGATAAAAGGATATCAAGTTCACCTGCGAGTATAGGTGAGGTGACACTGTGCAGTGTAAGCTAACTCTGTGACTGACAGTGACACCTGGACAAGTTAGAACCCGTTGGATAGGATTGATTTACTCACAGTTGTGCCGACGAGTACAGAATTATGATCTCTGGTTTCTTTTAATTCACTATGATCATCTAATGTGGTTTGTTCGACCAACTGTCATGACTTCATCTAGCCAATGTTGTGAATCTATTCAATTTCCACTGACTACTTTCCCGTGGTTTTTTTGACTTTCGTGTTCATAAATGTATTATATTCTTCGTTTGTTTTGTAACCAAAACAATCTCTTTAGAACTTGAACAATGCATTGGAAATGTGGAACTTATGGATGAGTTTCAAGATGGTATGCGAGGTAAAAAGTCTGGAAAAGCTCTTTGTTTGAAGGTGAGACATACTTGTTTTTATGATTGTCTATTACAATGATTCCTTGTATTTAGGGTTGTCACGATCGTATGTATGTTTAAAAATATGCATACAGTTGCTTCAAAGTCTACTACTACTACTGAACAACTTTAGTAATTTTAATAATAATAATAATCGCTTTATTCCGAACAATATGTATGACAGTATGGAATTTTCAGCATGTAATTTTTCAAACATGGCGATGATTGAAGGTGGGATGAGAATTTAAACCGCGGCTGGATTTCAACCAGCGTCCGCCGGGTTACCGGCCCGATGCTCTACCTACTCAACCATGAGGTCCGACTACTAGCCAGATTTTTATTTCACTTCAAACACCAGGGGCTTTGCCCTTGCTTAGCAGTCGGACCTCGTATCTCAGTTGGTAGAGCATAGGACCGGTAACCCGGTGGTCGCTGGTTCGAATCCTACCGCGGTCCAGATTTTCATCTCACCTTCAATCATAACCCAGTGCCAAACTACGGCTATCTCAGACAGTCAAATGATAATGTAATTTTTCAACAGATTCACTTTCAGAACAATAATTTCAGACGAAACAGTTATTGCATCGGAATGATGTTAATAATAACAATATTCAAGGCAATAATGTGAAATAGTCAGCTGATTGTGGATGGGCATTCAGTCCATAATGACGAATCAACAGAAATGCAAACGTAATTTTGGTGGTGGTGGTTCATTCAGACGGTATAGAAATCTGCAACTCAAGTTAAGCATCTGACGGATAGAAATATCATGTACTTTTGTGCACTGAAAAGTCCATTTCCATATAACGTAAAATTTTTTCCCTGCTTCGTTATTGACTCGATAAAAGGAAAGTTGAAAACAGTTTAAACATCTTCAAGAACCTTCATATTTTCAAATTTCTTCTCCTTGCATACACTTTTGTCTACTTTGACGTCAGTCCTTTTCTATCCACTTGTTACTTGTCTGCTGTACTGTGTGACAATTTTATGTGATGTACTTGTGTATGAGTGTTTCAACGTTGATTTGTCTATCTGTCTATCTACAATGTTTAACTTCTAGACATGATAGGAAGAAGCTTTCTCAAGTTCAGTATTTCTCAATGTTCACTGAGTCAGGCTAACCGCCATTCAGAGAAAGTTTCACCTCTCACAGAAAACCTTTACTGCCTTTCTGCTGTTTAAACTATTTGATATTGAAAAAGAATTTTATTTTTTACCTATCTTATACTTTAGACTAATATGAAAGGTGAAACACCATTACATGTGGCTGCAATCAATGGAGATATGGATCATGTAGTAAAGTTGATTGAAGTTTTGGTAAGTATATTGGATCAGAGAAAGTGAATTTATTTCATTGTATATGTTTTGATAGCGTTGTGTTCCCTAAGACTTGGATCGTTTAGTCGTGAAGCTTTCATTGTCATTCTAGACAACATCACCAGCACAAAATTGTCATTCAGGTCAGTCGTATGTGACGCTGACTCAATCTATCAACCAATAACAAACAAAAAGAAGGCCAAAGTTCTCATCAGCAGGACAACCAATCAAAATAAATGTGGAGATAACGAGAAAACTTTGGCAGAAACAACCAGTCACACACGTGACCATCAGCACTAAACACTCTTTTCGTCCTGTTGTCAATCTGTGATAAGGACTTTCTAGCAAACAACTAATTGAATTGCGTCTCAGTGGCTAGCAGTAACTTACTTTGAGATGGATTTCCCAAAGTTCTAATGAGAGATAAATCGAAAGAAGTAAAAAAATATGGAGTATAGGACTTCTTCAACTTAGTACTTGAATCGTTACGTACTCGTCCCGATCAATCCTTCTCAGGTCCTTGGGGTGCGCGTTGTTGAAGAGTTGTCAACTAGGACGAAACAGGTGTTGAGTACTCCCAGGTTTTCCATGGTTATACAAGCGACATCAGTCCGTGGTACTTCTCCATTGGTTTAAACACCAGTGAGTTCGATTAACCGGATACAGATGTCTGAACAATCTAGTAGTATTGGTAAATATCGCATAATGTGTGTTGATTTTCCAAAATCTGCTATCAGTTGTTTATCCCTTTGATCCTTATTTTTTCATTCAGCATGCCGTTTGTGTTAAAAATATGACGGGACAGGCTGAAGTATGATTAAAATGATTCATCATTCTGTTATTCTCCTCTTCATTCGATGTTGACTAAATATTCGAAGAAATGCATGGCAACAAGTGTCGATTTGTAATCGCATTCATAAACTTCATGTTGCATCAGTCTGTCGAACTACACGTACCGTTTAAGTGGTTTATATAGACAGTTATTTGTATCGTAGTCTATTTGATGGAATCTAGGACGCATTTTTCGTCCTACTTGTGACTCGTAAGTTTGATGTGCCTGAAGTCCAGTACCCATCACTTGTAATGCCGACGCGAACTTACAAGTATCAATAAACAACAACTGATAACCGTTGCTAAAGTAGTGGCTGTCATGCCCCCAAACGGCCTAGTGGATTACGCTTTGGTGTTTTAAGCAACGGGTATTAAATTCAAGTCTCAGTAATTTATCAAACAAAAGAAATTTGGCGAAGAGTCACTCTTTTCAGTGATTTCAGTTTCAAACTGTACAATCGTGGATATATATGTCCCATTTACATGGCAACAGAAAAGGAATATTTCATCAGACATTTTTGAGCAAAATTCAGTCTTGATTGTAAATCAAGAGATCGGAAAAAGATTTACGCAATGTTTGAAATAACAATAAGATGAAGGCTTATCAATTACGAAGCAATATTTGAATACTAAGTTAGATGATGTAGTGTAGTTAAGGCGACTGGTGAATGTAATGAAAAGTGAGAATTACAAAGTTGGAAGTATGTGATGTGTGCGAAGACGTAAAAGAAAGGATTTTGAGGGCAAACTACTCTTATAGGTCATGCCTACTTCAACTCAAGTGACAAAAACCTCTTTTGAACGCAGAGTTCGTGGTTCAAGATGTCATGGTTTCTACAGTTTGAAGAGGTTTCAAGCGTACACACCTTTCACTAGGCTTGTATGAACTGTATAGATGACAATGAAGTTGTTTTCTGAATTTACCGAGTAATCATAATTGATCAACTGTTCGAAAATAGCGTTTTGAGGTGTTCTCCCTTCTTCTTTGTGAAAGTAGGCTGGTAGATATTCAGAAATGCGTTATTTGTTTCCAAGGGAGTTCGTGTCACGGATCGTAATCAGCAACAGAACCGTAAAAAACTAGAGAGCAGTGAATTCTGGTTAGCGAACCCTTAGCAGATCGCAAACATGACCCCATTTCAGATCGGACTAAAGACTGTTGTGATACTGATCACATTGTCATTGTGTGTTTTACTTTTCTGTATTATTTTTTGAAAATCTAATGATTGCACTGATTTTCTTCTAGGGTCATCCAATTAATGTACCCGATGGTGCCGGTTGGTTACCGATTCACGAGGCGGCATTTCATGATAGATCAGAAATTGCTACTTATTTACTCGATCATGGTGCCAGTCTAGATGATCCCGGGTATCCAGATGATTTTTCTACACCACTTTTTGAAGCTATTCATAGTGGTGGATTGACGACAGCGTTGATTTTTGTTAGACGGGGTGCAAATCTATGGCATAAGTGAGTTTGGCTATTCTTTTCTGCTTCAAATAAAATGTCAGTTATTTTTCCATCTTGAAGTGATCGGCAACCTCTTTTATATGCATAAACCGACACCCTGGAATAACATGTGGCTTTCTGATTGGTCTTTTAACCAGTGATCTAAGAGTTCCCAATCTAGTCTTACCTATTCTAGCTTGATTGACAAATCAGATAGTAATATTGATCTTGATATATTGAAGTCGAATGCACAGACCTTTACGTTCATGCTCGCTAACAGTTTACAATGGGGAACTGTACGCTGTAATACGAACTCAGAATAAAGAAATGTGTTTAGGGAAAGAATTTACTTCTGATATTATCATAAGGTGTTCAGTTCTGCCAACAAAATTTATGGCTGGATAGTGGAATCTATGACCCATTAGTCAATGTTTAAAATGCATCCGTGTAATAGGCAATGAACCACATATATTGTGTAAGAGCTAAGGATACAAGGTGGTTGCACAAATCCGGTAGGTGGGACGGGGTTCGAACCTATGGCCCATCGGTTGAAAGTCATCTTCCTAAGCCAATGCTAAAGAATATTACTTGAGATTATTGATTGACCACTTCCTGATATTTCTTGGAATCTAGCTAAAGAAACCCATTTGCCTTTCATTTAAATCGCTGTGATCACCATTTCTTGATGTGATTATCGTAAGGTTTCTTAAACCTCATAACCACCGTAGAAAAAGGTGCTTACTTTCATATCAGTGGCTGATTGTGCGACATTGTGTGCCCGTTTCATCCTTTTCGATCTTTTCAACTATATGTTATATGTTATATTTGGTGTTCCTGAGGTAACTCGACATCAGAAATCAATTCAGTCACTGAAGTATCAGTCATTAACACTGTCGGATCATAATACCTCAACTTCTTGTCCAGCGTGCATAAGTTCTTACTAAGCTTAAAATTTCCTTCTCTCCCCCCATTTTTATTTTATTTTTAATTTCTAACTGATCAATTCCACCTGCTAAAATGAATTCATGAATTCGGTCCTAACACATTGTAGGTAACTACAGGCATAGCTGTTGTATGCTTTTAACATTGTCGGTTACCATTGTTCATTTAGTGATTTCATCCACTTGGGCTCATTTTATTCATGTTATTGACGAAACCTGCTGTCTAATAGAGTTTCTTTCAGTGACCACGTGCACATTCATGTACTAGGGAATGAGGCACACCTACTGTGTGCGTCTGTACGATAACTGCTGTCTGGTAACGAAAACCTCAGTAGGTGTAATTAATACTTTAGTGTATTGGAAAGAATGTGTGTGTGTGTGTGCTAGTATTTTTCGATGCATCACACCTGCCATAGACATGAATATTTTATCAAGTATACAAACCGATAGATGGATTCAGTAATCATCAGATCCAGCTGACACGCAAGCAGCATTGCGATAAAAAGATTGAGTAAAACGTTTAACGCAGCATCGATGTTAACACATTCTGAAATACTAAACTAATTGCTTTGCATATCCGAACGTGCGCAAGCCAAGCACATCTTCAAGATCTGTATTTTCAATGATAAACTCATCATATCATAAAGTGGCTCAATGGTGAGGAGATTGCTTGAGGCTTTAGATAGACGTTTCACTGTACATATTATCCATGACTGATGGAAATAATCTTAAGTACGTCTGACTTCACAGGGATTGACCTACTCCCTGGAGGCCATCTGGTTGATTTTCAGTATACAGACGATATTGTCCCGCTGGGTGAGTACGCTAATACAACGCAGAGTCTTCTGACTGCGTTGAGCAGAAATCTAAGTATCTTTTGCATGCTTTTTGCACCTGTCAAATGTAAGATGATGCTCCAGGACTGATCTAGAAGTACTCCTAGTTTAATGATAGGGAGTGAAGTGATAGAATGTGTCGACCACTTCAATTACTCGAAGAGTTGCATCAGCCCAAAGGGTCTCGTTGCTGAAGAAATCTCAGCTATTGCCAACCTTCGTCGTCTGTGGCACCGACTTATGAGACGTCCAACTACTTATCAGACAATGAGTATATTTCGCTTTAACTCGTTCACTCCTGTTATACGGCTGAGACACGGTCATTAAAGGTAGGAGGCATGAAGCGGTTACACAGTTTGATCACAGATATCTTTTTTCAGCGTTGCTCACGTTTGATGGAATCACCGCGTAAGCAATGTTGAGTTAAGGCAAAGGGTATTAGGCAAGACAGGCAAGTCGGCTGATAAGGTTTTTAACCTTAGTACACTGAGACGGCTTGGACATGTACTGCGCATGCCAAGCCAAGCCAACGGCGCCTATCTCGATGTGTTATGCTAGAAGTTGGTTTCGGTTGGAAGAGAGTTGTGGGTGACTAGACCAAGGCATGTCATCAGTCCATAACTGTTAGTCTGAAGTGTATGGCGAGATGCAGATCACGGTCTGACTGGAGTCCCCGAGGAGATAGAAATTAGTGTTTGAGGATTCTTGTTGCATGGCTGAAAATCGATCACAATGGTGGAGATGTAATCACTCTTTGACATTTTATAAAGATTAAATATTCCCACTAACCTTCATTTTCAGATTGTTTATTCTCTCATAGAACTTTATCTACTTTGAGATCAGCCCTTTTTTTATCCACTTGTTCTTTGTATACAACGGTGTAGCAATGAAAAGTTTTTGGACCCCTCTTTGATCATTTTTTTCTTTCGAATCCTATATGTGGTTTCCTGAGGTGGGTCGGTCGCATACAACATATGTCAGCGATATATAGATAACATTTTCATTCCATGTAAGAGCAGAATGCAGGCGGAGGCAATGTTAAAGAACTTCAGCTCATACCATCTCAATTTTAATTTTTCACTATAGTAAAAAGAAAATGAAAGGATCAGGTTCTGATGGTGAAAAAAATTGTCGGTTCCGTAGAGGTATCTGTATCCAGAAAGCCATCATCCACGAGGTAGTATTATTACTAGGAGAACTTTGTTCCAATTCAGTACAAATGGAATCTAGTTATGAATTTTTTTATGACAGTAAAATGGATTATGAAAGAAAATCCTCGATCAAGTACTCGAGAAATGTAAAGATGAAGTGGATTATTTTGACAGCTCAAGAAAAAACTTCATCACACACCAACCTACCACTTAAGCTAGACGATATCGATGATATAATCAAGCGGGGGCTCGATACCGCCATAAAAGAAACAATATACTGCACAATTAATGTTCTTTAGCAACAATCAGGGAAAGTAATTGTGTATTTCACTTCGAATGTAGTTATGTAAGCAAATACGTTAGTCGTACAGAGAAGTGGCTACTATTGAGTGTGCATCCAACTGGTTAGACTCTTACGAAGTAAACATTCCCCCAATCTTTATAACCCAACTACCTATGAACTCTAAGCATGGTATCGACTGTATGAAGTCGTTTGCATTAGTTAAGAGACAGGATAAGAAGTTACCTGTAAATGAAGAAACCTGTCTAATTCGGTTCCAAAAACCAACAATTTGTGTACAGAAAGAAATGGTGAAATATACTGCTAAACAACTTGAGTAGTAAGTTAACACTGAGGTTAATCTGTAGATTTCGCTAGGCAGATCAGAGTGACATAACCATCGGACAGCCGTTTCGATTGTCTGGGGTCAAGCTCATCAGTAGTGTTCCTGGGTCGTTAGAATCTGACTAGCTGTCTCGAATACACCAGTATAGCTTAAACAGGATGAGACTGCCTTTAAATCACTCTGATCTACTTGGCGAAATCTACAGATGCATCATGTGTGGTTTGTAACTATTCAATTTGTTCAGTAGTAATATATTTCGTTAGTTCATAACACTTGTGTCGCACATCACACCTTGTGTTCACTGGGGAGGGGTGGTCTCCAGCGGGAACCCTGTTAACATCCCAGTGGGGCAGTTGAGAGGCACTTTGTAAATCATATGCGAATTAATCATCCTGTTTACAAACGAAATAGTATTATTATTATTATTGTTTGTCCCTTGTGTTCCTAGTGGACAATAGGGCTTCAGCAGCACGTCTCCATTTCATTGTGTTCTCTGCAGTCTTTTTAACCTGACGCCACGACTGCCCATAAGTTTTCATTTCTTCCTCACGCCATCTCCTCCATGTCACCCTCGGACGCCTGACTCGTCGTTTCCCATTTGGCTTCCACTCGATGGTCTGACCTGACGCGTGATATTCCCAGATGGTCTTTTCAGTGTATGCTCAGTCCAATCCAATCGAACTCCACTTTCTTCTACTGCATATTTGTTGGGCGATACGTTGTTGGTTGGTCGGTTCGTTGCCAGCCACACTTCCTGTTGCTTATTGTTATTATTCTGGTCATATGATCTTCAGTGTGAGTGTCAGTATCGAGTGAGCGTAGGTGGTAGCTGTTGATGTATTTATGTCTGTAGTTTGTTGGAAATGCTTTTCATAACGCGCCGTTGATGGTTATTGGTGCTTGTTGTTGTTGTTGTTGGTTGGGTATCTTCATCACCTCTATCTTCTCTACGTTCACCTGAAGGAAGTCCCATCTTCACTGCCCTGTCTCTTCAGTCAACTTGTTAGTTTTCTTCTGTAGATCTCCGAGTTTGTGCGACGAGACATTCGACATAAATCATCGTCGAAATCCAAATCTTCTTGTGGGGTTTTTTCATCGGTCCAGCCAGCGTATGCCCTTCTTCTCGCTCCACACAGTTGTCTGTTGCATGATCCAGTCCAGTCGACCACAATGAGGAAGATGATCGGTGATAGTAGACGGCAACCTTGTCTTACTCCTCTCTTCACTTCAAGGGCATCGCTGAAAAAATAGGAATTACTCTGTATTCGCTCTCATGACAATCTAAGGCAATTTGTAACTTCATTCAGTGATACATTTCATTATTTTAGTTAAGTATCACAATTCCGAGATAATTATGTTTGTTCTTGTCTTACGCTTATATTCCCCACCAACTTGCTTCATCATTTGATGAATAGATTTGTAAGTCGTATTCATTCTTATTCCATTACTCATGATGATGTAATTAAAGCTTTGGTCGGTGCTACGTTTCAGTCAGTTGTCACACCTTTTCCAACCTTCTCACAAATCGACTTAACACTGATCAAAATTGTTGTTGTTAGGTTGTATTTGTCGCCCTAGTTTTGAATAAACATTTCTGCTTCTTTGTTCTGTATTACATGACGATAAGTTTAATGATGTATGTCAGACAAACAGGCAGATGTAGAACCTCACATACAAGTGCACCGATTTAAATTGCTATATTCACAGAAGTAGGCAAAGAGCAAATTGGCAGGCGGCACGACTTCTACCAAAGTGAAAAGAAGTATGGCAGAAGACAAGACTTAAAAATTAAGGTTATTCAAGACATTCAAACTTCAGAACACATCAGAGAGTGAGTACATCGGTGCAGTTGTGACCGATTTTCAGCCATGCCACCGAGGGTCCTCAATGACTCATTTCTTTCATTTCAAGGACTCCACTCTACGCAGATCAGATCAGCAGTCATGGACTTCATGAGGTTTGTAGAGAGAGTATGCGGCCAAAGAGTTTCACTGAAATATCGTGAATTCATTTAATTCTGCTTTCTATACACTAGTTGTTTGTTGTAAATGCAGTAAGAATATGAAGTTTTCATTGAATACTCCTTTGTTTGTCTGTTTCATCTTTTAAATTATCCCTATCAAAACTTTATCTAAAGCGATGCATCTGTGTGTGTGTGTGTGTGTAATCCTTGTTTTATTTTCTTTCGAAAATATTTTTCCCTGTTAGGAATAAACAAGGAGAATATTTACCGAATATATTAGATCAATGGGAGCCAACACGTCATGCATCTGGACATTTGCTGAGCAACGCGTAAAATTTAATGAACTGCTAGCGGCTATTAAAACTCGCCTAGGTGGTATGTTCAATTTTCTATTTCAGTTTTTAACCTTTTATGCAAGGTGTGTTAGATATTGTGAAGTTACCTACACCCGAAATTGTGCACCATTTGGTTTCAGACCCCTAGAGATTGTCATTTATCGAGTAACGTTATCTTTGCTTCAGTGGGTTAGATATGTTTTGCCAATTTCTTAGCAGTGACTAGTACACCTCAGTCTTTACTAGCCATTGGTTTGCTTGCAATAAGTGGGGAAAATGTTAGTGTATGATGCGAAGCTCTGGGTTATGCTATGATGGATTCCGTCCTCCTCAGTGTGAAGTCGAAGAGATTGTGATACGGTGGGTCAAGATTTGTTGAATATGACTCAGAATCGAAACCAGTGGGGATCCTACTGTAATGGTTTTCTTGCCTCTTGCATTTCTGAGGATAAAATCAAACGATAAATGTTTCTTAAGCAACTCCTAAAAGAGTACATGTTTAACAATCCGGTTCTGTTTTTCTTTCCTTTCCTCTACATAACTTTTATATCTTATCATTTGACACCTCAGAGACTGATCTAATCAATGGAGAATGCTTGGTAAATATGGAATACACAGCTAAAATAGTCCTGTTAGGTGAAGATGCTGACAAGATGCACAGTCTTCTGGATACCTTGAGTGGCAATTTGAGAATGTTCGGGGTGTGTTTTCCGCCACTTTAATGCAAGTTGTTGCTCCAGGAATGGTCTTCAGCAGTGCTCTTCCTAACAGAGATTGAAGGGGTTGAGTGCATTAATTACTTCACTTACCTGGGAAGTTGGGTCAGTGGCCGACGAAGTCTGCACGGATACAAAAGCCTCCGTAGACCTTCGCAAAGTTTCTCTATTCATGACGTTGCCATGATATCTGGTTATCTATCAAGAGTGAAATTTAGTACACTTCAGTCCGATTTATCTCACCATTTGGCCGCGAAACATATGTTACTCATGCCTAGTCACCGTTTGCCTCATCATGCAATGTTAGCTGAAGTAGGTCTTGTCTGGAAAAAGGCTGGGGGTGACCAAATCAAAACATGGCATGGCTGCACCAAGTGTTTGACTTTTGGTCTGAGCCAGGATGGGAGACGTGGACTAGTCATCAGGGGTCCATGTGCCAAGAGAAACTAGTAGTTCTCCCACCGGGATGAAGGCACCGTGTGTTTGGGCCGCAAGATGCGACTATACCGTCCTGGTTTTAAAGAATCTGGATGTGTTCCGTTCTCTCCTGAAAACCAAGTTGTAGAAAGTCGTCAAAAGACAGCCAAAGGGAATGCGAGATAACTGAAGTTCAGTAATGACGATTAACATGAGTGTGTGGATATATGTCTGCCCCACTGACACCGATTCTCAGCCATATCACCTAAAGTCTCCAACTACTGGTAAATTATTATAGATGGTCTTTCGGTAAACTTCATTAGTTTGTGTAGTAGTTTTCTCTTCTGGTAGACGTCAGGAGTAGGCACTTTAAGCTGTTTTAAACTTGAACAGACTGAAATGACTAACATAGAGCTTCTCAGAATGCAAATTGCCATACTTTTAAGCAGACACCAGCTGAATGACTAGAGTAAACGTGAAAAAAAATTGATGAGCCCTCCAAGTGTTTAACGTTGGTAAATAATATAACTGACACATTATAATCCTTTTTCATCGATTCCACGCAGACTGTCGTTAAATACATCTACGACTCAGAGCAAAATCCCCAATCATGTGGTCTACACATCCTCGGTTAGTTTCATATCTTGAACTACTGACTATCGTTTACCATTTACAACCGAATTCTGTATTTAGTTAACCTGGTATATACGAGGAAAACTGCCACTTGACTCTTGGCTAAAAAGTATCTTACTACAACTTTGTCTATATGTCGCTTTAGATTGCAGTAAAAACGAAAACATTATTTACAGATGTAAAAATATTCGTTGGAAATCATGTACAGATTATTTTCCAGTCAGATTCAGTTGAAATTTGGTGATTGAAAACAATTCCCTTAATGCATCTTTGCTTTATGACTGCTCATTGGTTTAGGCAACTGATTTCCAACCATGTGAGTCACGGGTTCGAACCCCGTTTCACCTACCGAGGTTTTGGCAACCAGGTAGTATCCATAACCATCACGCAATAGGTTTAGTTCATTGCCTACTGCATGAATGTGCACGTGGTCGCTCTCTCTCAGTCTCTCCTGCTTACCAATACAGAATAACAAATCGTTGAGAAACAAAATCGATGATTATGCCACTTGAAAAGCAGGTAATTAATTACCCATTCGTTGATAAAAAAATTGGCAAGCCATCGCCTACAGAATAAATGAAGTTGGGAATGACTATGAATTTTTGTGTATGACACCAAAGGATTTTTATTCTTGAAGATCTCTAAACTTAGTGTACTCCACCTATTTCGCTTTCTTCACTTAGTCACGCGTTCGAACACTATCTCACGTACTGAGGCTTGGGAAAGCTAGGCCATCATCTTTATCCCTCACACAATAGTTTTGGCTCAGTACTACCTTCTGCGCCAGTACGCACAAATTTGCTGAGTGCAAAAGAAGGAAAGTGAATAAAAGTGATGATCTTGACACGGCAAAGAACTAGGAGTACAAAGTTTCAGTTAAGTTTCAAACTATGATGAACCATTCTAGTATTGAGTAATCCTCAGTAGCGTATGATGAAAATAACGATCATGTGAAGTTTACTGATCAATTTTTTATACAGACCAATTTATGAATCTCCAATAAATCAGAGTTAAACTCGTTCTCTGGTAATTTATCTAATTATCTAATCGCTACCTCACTGTGATTTAAAAAAAAACCCAGATGATTACGATCGTTGGTGCAATCTGAAACGTGAAATTCCGGAGGACCATTCGTCTCCTGAACAATCTGACTCATCAGTGATGGTAGCTGTAAAGAAGAATTCTTCAAAATCTCATTCACATCATCGTAGACGAATGTATCGTTCACCGTCCCTACATGATATTAGTGAAATGGAGTCCACACAAACGTTATCTAAATCAAATCTTGGAAGAAAATCTCTGCGTAGCCGAAATTGGAATGATTTACTTGTTGATTTAGATGATGATGAAGATGAAGTTCCTTCACAACGTTTATCATCTCCGGTTAAATCAAGGAAGTCTACTAATGCAGTAGAATCATACAGAGAAGCTATGAAAGCTATTGGCAGTTCAAAAACACGGTGAGTGTAATACTTTTTGTCAATGAAGTCGTAGACTTTGACTTGTATATGGGATGTTATACACTAGGTTTTGATAACCATCAAGATTTCATAGACATGTCTGTGAGTGAATCAGAGCGTGTTGGACATCATTACACTTTACTGTTAGATATGTTTAATTTCCCGTTGCTATACAGGGTCGAATTGCTCGACCCAAATATCGTTTAACGGTCTATTGATTCTAAAAACAACAAAGAATATTACGAAGTCAACCCCAAGATGTGCTTGACGATATGGACTAGAATAACACACTAGCATCAATGTCTAGTTGCAACCCAAATATCGAAATCAATTCCGATTATCTTGTTTTCGAACAAAGTCAAGAGAATAATCACTATGCCGATAAACTATCCAAAGTTTGAAGATTGAAAAAAAAAACTGTTGCGCAAATTAAAAAAAGAGAACTCACGCTGTGGTAAATCTATCGTCAAACTGACTAGTGCTGAAGCAGATTGAGCCGTGGCTTGAAGTACACGAATCCATGATGGATATGGATGGGTTTCTGAGATCATCACGCTTCTCAACATTGGATTACGGTCAATTATGAGTGTAGTTATTGAGGCTCCAGGTGTACCGAATAAACTGAACAATAACAACGACAAATAAAAATAAAAACGTAAGTCATGTGTAAGCTTGATAAGAACACTTTGTACAATGAAACTATTCTCGTATCAATGCAAACTTGCGGATCAAATTGCAAAGCTACGCATTATCATAGAACACAGCATAGAATGGCAGTCAATTCAACTCTACCTCAACTTCATCAACTTTGAAAGGCCTTCGATAGCATCGACTGAGAAGTAATTTGGCAGGCAGCTGCTTCAACACTACGGTTTTAATGCCACACACCTTTATCAATCTCCTTCAACAGTTATATTACGACGCTACATACCAAGTCATTCACAATGGAAAGCTCAGTGATGCCCTTGAAGCGAAGTGAGGACAGGAGTAAGACAAGGTTGCCACCTACTACCACCGATCATCTTCCTGATTGTGGTCGACTTGCCTGCATCATATAACAAACTGTGAGGAGCTGATCGAGTTGTGAGGGCGGTTGACACTTCCCGGCTGCCCACACCATGGAAGGCTATTTCTTCTTAAGGTACCTGAAAGAGATTTGTGTGACCGCAGAGCCCATCGGACATCTGCTTGAGGCCTGTCATACTCAGCCTTTTGTGTATGATTATTTTGAACTTTTATTGTTTTGAGGTCGGATGGTCGAAAGGAAACGACAAATAAATGAACACCGCCGGCCGGCAGACTGTGGGGTATGGTGGAGTGTGTTATTTTGGAGGCCGACCTTTTATAACCCCCTCCTTCCACTGAGAAGACAGCATCAGCATGGCACTGCTGGTCATCCAAGGGAAACACGTTACTGCTGTCATACCCGAATCCAGCTAGCAGCAGTACGACTTCGCCCTGAGACCCACATTACACTGTAGCAATTTACACCACAACGGTAACTGATTTTCGTCTAACCACTATCCAACAGACCTTTCTGGTATGGTAGGACCTCGAGGGAACAAGCGTTCCACCAGCATAGCTCGTTGGGTCATTGTGATATGCAAGCCCGACCACCACGTCAAGGTAGCAGCTATCGGACTTAAATAAGATGAAACGCGTGTCCCGGACTCCATTGCAAGTTACCAAAATGAATGCAATATAATGGATATTCAGTAGCGTCGAGGCATCCGCATAGCAGCCCATCTATCAATAGAGATCGGGAAATTACAAGTATCAAATAACAACTGACAACCATTGTACAAGAGGCGGTTCTCATATCTCAGTGGTCTATTGGGTTATGCTTCCGCATTTAGAGCCATGGGCATCTGGTTCGAGTCTCGGGGCAACAAAATCGGTTACTGGGGATGTTACATCCAGCCGACGTTTCCTTAGTAGGACGAAGCGCACTCCCTGGACTCCTCTGCTAGTCATCAAGATGAATACAGTATTACACTTTATTCAGATTGGAATAAGCAGGTAGTATGATTGCCTTCGTTGTAGTGTGCGTGACCTATTGATTAGCATGTCAAATTGGCCTTCAATGACTATTTTTTAATCAAGTTCTGGATCGGACATTACAGTTGTACTTGTGAAGAAGGCTGGAATTCAGCAGCTTTTGTCAAATAGTCTGTAAATTGTGTTGCATTACCTTAAGGTTGATTGTTTATCGGAAGAGTAGTTTTTTAGGCACAGTCTCATTGAACTTGTCTCATATGTTCTATATCCTGAATAAAGAATTGTCTGTATACTGTACATGAGTTTAACTAATTGGAATCATATGAAAATAAATAATTATTTTAAGTCTAATTAGATATTCGATTGGAAATTGAAGACAGTGTTCATGGATGAACACTGCCTAGAAGTCCTATACAAAGAACGTAGCAACTATCCAGTGTTCCCAGGTTTTCATAATTTACGTTTACTTATTTTCTGATCATTGTTTTATTTGTTGTGTTTCTGTAGTTTAAATGTTTTTTTTTCTGTTATGTGAAAATCAGTTCTACAGGCAAGCGTCAGTCATTTTGTGAGATAAAAACTTCGGAAAATGTAAAACGTCAGAAAAAATCAAGTATCATTGATGCTGATGATGATGGTTGGTTAGTGGTAGACGAGAGACCAACAGGATCACGATCTGTACCGAGCACAACCGTTAAAGAACATTTTGAAACGTTAAATATGAAATGTGGAAAATCTAAATGTGAGCGCTTTTTTTCATCGCATATTCATAGCTGTATACTTTTGTCACTATATTCATAATACGTCAATTTTTGGGGTCTTTGTGGTGATCGAATGACTTGAAGTTGGTGTTCATCGTAAATCGATATCAACTGCGACGTCAATAAAAACCTTTGAGCACTGGACAGCTAGAATCAGTGCTACAGGCGAACGTGAATCCCGACCCGGGTGTATCGACTAAATATTCACACTGTGCCAGGTCCTCGAACACAGCCACTCTTTCCAACGCCCGACATTAGCTGTATTTCTCGACCTGAAGGTAGCGCTCAATTCCTCGATCAACAAGTCCTATGGCAATGTCTCACTGAAAGGCGTGCCGATTAAGTACATTATCTTATTGAAGGCTCTCTACTCGAACACTTGTGGCCATGTTAGAGCCTATGGTGAGATGTGCGGGAAGCTGTACTCATCTAGTGGTGTCCGTCAAGGCTGCACACTCTCCATTCTTATTCAATTTTATCATAGATATTTTTATGGTAATCTTCCTCTCGTCACTTGACTACACAGATTCTTTTATTTTTATTTGTCCATTGGCTTTCTAGTGGAATATAAGGCCATCCAGAGTTCTTCGTTGCTTATTCTTATCATTCTGATCATTTGATCTTCAGTATCAAGCGTAGACAGCTGTTTGTGTATGTCTGCAGTTTGTTGGAAATGCTTTTCGTGAGGCGCCAAGTCTCTGAACCATCACCATAGAAGCACTGAATTGACTGAATTAACCGGAAGTGGAGAGTTGATTGCCATTCTATACTCTGTTCTATGATGATGTGTGGCGTTGCGATTCGGTCCGCACATGATGTGTACTTCCTGAATCCAGCCAGCCTGTTCCCGTCGTAGTTTTGAATCCAGCGCATCTTTTAGTCTCTCCAAGATGATACGGCTTAATATTTTGCTTGCTCTGGGTGGATAGGGAGTGGGCATGATTCCTCGCCAGTTCTTGCAAACACTTAGGTCTCCCTTCTTTGGGAGTTTGACAAGGTAGCCCTTCTTCCAATCGACTGGCACGTACTTTTCATTCCTTACTTCTTTCCTTCCAAACCTTTTGCAACAGTGGTGTGAGCGTTTCCGCTGTTGTCTCTACCTCTGTTTCCAGTGATTCTGGAGGAATTCCATCTGGTCGTGCTGCTTTCCCGGATTTCAGCAACTTTATGGCGTTCAGGACTTCGGCTTTTGTCGGAGAACTTGTGTTTACTGGTAATTCTGTGTCTGGGTGGCTGGTGGTATTTCTGGACGAGTTGCATGTGAAAGCGGTCGATTCAAGAGCATTTTGAAGTGGTCAGCCCATCGTTTCTTTTGTTTCTACTCTTTGCCGGTAACTACGTTTCCGTCACTATCTTTCATTGGTTTCATCTGTGCTGAGTTGATCTCCCCCAAAAATAGTAACCTGCTTATTTGTTATAGTGTTGTCAGGTCCCTGTCTCTCCTCCTACCAGCGGCCTGTTCTGTTTCACTTGCCAATGTGTCGTAGAAGTGTCTTTCATCTTTCCACCCACTCTTCTTCACTGCTTTGTCCAGTGTAATGTTTTATAGGTTGTATTCAGTTCCCCTTTTCGTTACTCAATCTCTGTACTGCACTGAACTGGTTCATCTTCTGCTTCACCATCTTCCTCCCGTGTATCATCTTCAATGTGTCCGTCGAGATCCATTCCATTCCTTCCCTTATTTCTTCTTCCTTCCTCATACAGTTATCCAGGTTTCTTTCCACACAGCTTTCAGAGAGTTCCAGTGTTCTTCCACGGAGGTTACCTCAGGGATGTTGCTCAATGTCTCCCATTTTGTCCTGATGACTGACTGACTGACGTGAAGATGTCGTTTGTAGTTTCATCCTTCAGTTTAGTTTCTGTTCTGGGTATTGAACTTGAACTCTGGCCTATCACCGATTTCTTTGAAGGCTTTCAACTTGATTTTGAAGGTAGGTTCCTTCCACTAGATAGTCGTGTGATTGTTGTGAACCTCTGTCTGTCCCCCTTTCTTGATCTGATCTTGTGTCCAGTAGGCTGCGTCTCTACTCTCTTCACATTGAGATGAAGTCAATCTAATTTTTAGCATGTCCTTGTGTCTGGTGAAATCAAATCCATGTCGCTTTGTGAATATCCTTGTGTTTGTACACATTGCCTGACTCCAATCACCAAGTCGTTGAATGCACAGAAGTCTGCAAACAGTTCTCCATTATCGTTCATTTCACCGAGTGCCCATCGACCCATGATAAAGAGTTCTCTTCCTGTGTTGTCTGCTCACAGTTTGGCATTCATGTCACCTCACCCATTAGAATTTTGATGTCACCACCTGGACTGGAGTCCTGTCCAGCACTGATTGCAGTTGTCTCTGGAATTCCTCCTTCTCCTCTTGGTTAGCATTATTTGTAGGTGTGAAGTGTAGCATTGCATGATTGTGACTTTCCTCCATTTCGATTTGAATCCTGCTGTCATGATCCTGACGGTTGAGGAGGTTGGTTCCCACTGCATGAGAGACATCTTTCGATGCTCTTGGGAGGGGGACATCATGATAGCCACTCCAAAACTCAGTGTGCTCGTGGTTGTCGTTTGGGTGACAATATCCGAGTAGATTATTGACTCTCCAGTTGAAAGTTTGCAGAGTCCACTTTCATTCAATCTGCAGATTCCTCGCAGATTCCTAGTCTGGCACTTTTATGTTATACCTTCTCATCTGTTTGGCAATCTAGGCAGTCTTGCCAGCCAGCTTCAAACATTGTTCGGACATTCCATGTCCACTTTCTTACTTTTGCTTTCATTGAGAGAAGACACGTTGGTCAATTGGCTTCCAGAAGGCGTCATTTAGTCTCCCTGATTCCAGCAGGGAATAAGTTTGTTTTTATTTCTTTTCTTTTGTGCTTTGGAGTTTCTTCAGGGGTTAGATTGATTTTACAGGATAGGGTTGCTAATCCTATACCCAACCTTCCCTCTTTATCCGGGCTTAGGATCATCTAGTAACTTGTGAACTTGTTACCTAGGCCGACACTGTGTGACGAGGCAGACAGCTGTTAGGTATATGCAACACATGTCCCAACCATGCCAGTTGATGAAGGTTCACAAGTGGATCAACCGCCTTTCCTCTCCTCCTTAAAACACACATGAGCCTGGCTTCTGCTTTACTCACGTAGGGACATCACGGAATACGCCGTATACTACGAAGGCAACGGTGGTCAAACACCTCGAGCCACCATAGGGTCTAGCGTGGCCACAAGTGTTCGAGTGGAGAGCCTTCAATAAGATGATGTACTTACTCGGCACGCCTTTCAGTGAGAGACATTGCCATAGGAGTTGTCGATGGATGAGTCGAGCGCCTTCTTGAGGTCGAGAAACACAGTTATTGTCGGGTGTCAGTAAGGGTGCCTGTGTTCGAGGACCTGTCACAGTGTGAATATTTAGTCGATACGCTCGCGGCTTGGCCTAAAGCCTGTCTGGCTTTCTCGGGCTTCCTGTTCTCGAACTCCACTCAGGAGTCGATGAATTATAGAACCGAGAATTTTGGATACCATATTCGTCTAACTGACTCCTCTGTGGTAATCACAAGAGGACTTCTCGCCTTTCTTGAAGACTGGGATGATCAGTGATTAAGACCAGGCAGAGGAAATCATCAAGGTAAACAATTTCTTCATTGATACCATCAGTAGAGTATTTAGTTCATCGAAAGCACGAATTTAAACTCGCTTTCCTTTATTGAAGGAGGTATTGTACATTATGGAGTTACACCACTCGGTGAAGCATTGACAATCACGAAATATGGAATATTGATTTCTTTCTAGTCTGATTCTCAGTGGTTAGTACCTTAAATCAGACATAACACTTAGTTCGAGACATTTAGGTTTTAGTTGGAGGTCATTATCATTTAGAATCTTTAAAATGTGTTTGTAAACACTCAAACGCAAATTTCTAATATTGGACTAGTTTGCGTTTGCGCCTTATCTAACAGTAAACTGTGAAAGGATTGAGCACACTGACCACTTCACTTTTTGTGAAATTGAATCTACTTCAACAGATTACCGACTAGCGAAGTCTCTGCAGGGTATTGAAACACCGATGACTTTGTAGCATATCTAGAATTTGAAACAATTACATGATAAGAGCAAGCATTAACCAATCAGCGAATTATCTTGAAAATGGAAGGAGGAAATAAATAACTGGCTATGTCATAAAAATGGCGTAAAACTTTTCTGTAGCACTGTAGACAAGATTATTATTACTGTTAAATCGTTTCTGAAGTTTATTTCAGAAACTGTTTCATCTCAGAAGTGGTAGTACTATCAGTATTGGGAAGAGAATAATTATTTAGAGCATAAATAAAGTGTTCAGGCCGTTGTCACTTTCTAACTGCCTACAACACTGAAGGTAAATTTTTCTTGTAACATTTAAAAAAATTAACTATTAAGGATGTTATCCGCCTGCATGGGTGTTTGAAAAGCCTCAGCGCATAACTTTTTGACACTGTGAATAAACAGACGTTTTGACGGTATCTAATTCAATGTTAATTGCATTGTTTCGGTACTTAGAAAGCTAAACTGTAGGTGGGTGGTGGGGTTCTTTTGGAAAAGAGATATATGTACCACCTACAGGGTGGTATTAGTTAGTCGGAGATAACGATACACCGTGGTTTCTAAGACGCCGGTAAGTGAAGTGGATTTCGAACTCTTCGACTTTCTCATTTGGGAGTCGACAGCCAGCAACAATGAGATACATTTCTACCGCACTAGGCAAGCTCGACCACTACTCCGAAAGCATCAGCTGATATCGAGTATATGATTTAAGCAAACTAATCGGACTGTCGACTGATCAAGCTTCATTTCAGTTATCGAGTGTTATGCGCTTATACTGTGGTTGTGTGTATCATGAAATTGACAACCCGTACGCTCCCAAGTCTCACTCCTCAGCGCAGCAAGAAGCTCACAGGCGCATGATCTAAAAGGTGTCATGAACTAGGCTTCATTTTGCACACCATATGCGTTGACTCTGTGTTCCCACGGTGTTTAGATTCATCTTTTCCTTTTTTCAACACTTTTCATGAAATTTCTAGCTGTCATACCTGAGAAAAATAAGCTCCATCCAGAAATCATTGACTTCTCACCTCATCTTGCTTTCACTTCTACTCAAAATGATAAATCATCAATACCATCACAACCACCACCGCCAATGGGTAATAATCGTGTCCATCTGCCGAAATCCACGTCTACTCCAGTTAAGACCAGTAAAGAATTCAATCAGTCGTTTAATCAGTTATCATTTATCAACCCTGAGGTGTATTCCAAGGAGGAGAAGCCTTTATCATCTACTGACAGGATGACTTCAGTCAGTAGAAATAATCCTTTGCCAACTACAACTGGTGATCAGATCAAGTCTTCTAAAATTCCAATAAATGAATGTTCAGGTAAGTAGAAACTATTCAGTTTTCGGATTGTATTGGTTCGAAAGCATTTTTCGGATGTTACGCTAAGAATGGCATCTTTTTTATCGAGTGAAATATTGCCATCTTGTTAATATTGGACCATATAAATATCGAGTGTTGTAGTCGATGAATCGCCGAGCACGTGTTGTCGTAGTTGACTTCATTGACTGTAGATTTATCGATGCGAAAAAAGGAGAGAGGGATGGTAGTTGTCTGAAGGCTTTGAACGGATATTTCTACTGTCACAGTAGCATTCTTTATGTCTGTCTGGCACAGAGAAAGATCTTACACTGTCGTTTGTTAAATTGTGTTATATGATAGTAACAAAAGATTTTCTGCCCTTTCCGTTTCATTTTTGTTTCTCTAAAGGATCGTCAAATTCAATAAAAGTGGCTTTTCCTGATATATCTATATTGGTTCCCGTCGATTCGCTGTAAGTTCCATGAAAATTAAAGTTTTATTCTCGAATGACATAACCTTACTTTACCGGTCAATCAGCCAGTGTGTGAGCAATGTTGAGATCAGGCGAAAAGTTATTAGGCAAGGCACCCAACTCGATTGATGAGGTTGTGAACCTAAGTAGATTGGGATGGTTTGGGTATATATTGCGCATACCGAGCCACCGCCGCCTATCTCGATGTGCTAGGCTAGGGAAAGTTGGATTCAGTTGGAAAACGGTTCAGGGTGACCAGACCAAGACATGTCACTAATCGGTGAAGTGTCTGACCGTTGGTATGAGTCATGTGCAGAGACATAAACTTCCTGGTTGGAGTCCACAAGGCGATAGGAATGAGTTTTGAGGACTCTCGATGACATGGCTGAATATCGCAGCAGCGCAGGTGTATTCATTCCTTAACATCTTCTAAAGCTTGACTATTCGCAATAATCTTCATCTTCAAATTGTTTATTCTCTCATACAGCTTTGTCTGTTTTGATATCACTCCTTATTCTATGAATCTGTTCTCTGCGTACTACTGTGAAGTGTGGCAATCTGAACCGATGCCTTTGTGTGTGAGGCTCCACGTTGATTTTGTCAGTGTTACTGATTCCAAATCGTCTCACCTCATATCAAGAAAAGTTAGACTAGTAAGATGAAAGATGAAGAAACAAATAAAGATGGGCTAGAAGCAATGAAAATTAGTAAATGGGAGGAGGGAGGAATGAGAAAGTGATGAGATGAAGTATCGGGACTAATAAGATAATAATGTGTGGATATATCTGCACAACTGAGATCGATTCTGAACCATTTCACCTATAGTCTTCAATCCCTGGTTTCTGTTGTCACGTAGACCCAAACGTCAAAATCTTCACTCTCCTGAGTCGCTCAAGCCATCAGTAAAAGACTTCATGAACTGATGCCTTGTTCTAGTCTGGCCACCTTTAACGTTTTTCTAACCTGAACCTACTTCAACTAACATTGTGCGACGAGGCAATCGGTGACTGTACACGTGTAACACATATTCTAGTCACATTTGGTAGTAAAAGTTCACGATCTCATTGTTATATTTTCGAAAGCTAATAGCTATATATATATTCCGAAACGAATAGAATACGCGCGCCTAGCTGACAGCTAACTTAGTACGCAAGCGCCACTGACTGAAACCCGGGACGAATAGAGAGAAGACTGGAGCTGGCAGATGGGAGAGTTTATTACTCCGAGAATATAATAATAATTCAATCCAAAACACGTGAATAAGTACACACATGAAAAATGACCTTATCCTCAATTTGAGGCATTTGCATAGTAAGAGTAAAGACTAACCAACTAGCGATTTACATTACAATGGGGGCAGAAAGTAGACTACTAGTCATACCGTAAAAATGGTATGGGAATGACACAATAAAGTGTTCAGATCAGTAACAGTGTTTTATACAAAACTGGGGCGGCACAACACCTCCCCCTTTTAAAAAAAAATCAGAGAACTCTAATACCTTCACTTTTTGGGATCCAGTTAGAACCGAACTGTTTGCGACCGTTTCCAATCCGTACATCTTCTGGGGAGGAGGTCGACCAATCTTCTTCCATAGCTTCTTGGAAATAATCGTTATATCGGAAGCTGTGTCGATTTGTAGTCGTACTGAATGGTTATTTATCTGGACGGTGATATATTTTCTCCGTGCTGGTCCATATGCTTGAAAAGCAGCAGTAAGACTTAGAGATTTGCCGACTGGTCGAGACTTCGATCTTTGACGGTGACTGGATAATGACCTGCCTGTTCTTTGTGATGGGAGCTGCTTGCAAAATCCGTCCTTGTGACCCACAGTATTACAATCTTGCCTTTTTTCTGCTTGTAATGACAATATTTAACGAAATGCCATGCACCACAATGCCAGCAGGGGGATGGTGGGGTCTTCATGTTTCTTCCGGGATGACGAACAGGAGACGAAGAACCAAGGGTTTTTTGGCCAGGAAAGGATGCAGAGGAATTCGATTTCTGGCGAACCGCATACACTTCATGATCACCCTGGCGTTCGGATTGGACTAAACTTGTATCACGTTGTAGGTTCACCAATCGTTGACATTCAGCAGCGATATCATGAAGCTTCACACCTTTAGTGTAGAATAGAAATGAAGAAAGTGACTCAGTGTGTGTAGAGACGAGTGATACTACCTGGCTTCCGACATGTCGGTAGTCGGAAGGGGGTTCAAGCTCGCGGCCTGTGATTGATAACCAAGTATGTAAACTAGTATTAAGTCTCTGAGTTGCATTACCTTCAAGTGATTTCCTTTGTTTATCTTTTTTTTAAAAGAATATTTTTATTATATTTCAAATAGATCTCGAAGTGTTTCATGGTTAGCAACGGAAGCATACCGTCGAAGACAAATTCTAATGGGATTTAATTCAACTATGCCGTCTGTCGATTGTAGTGAATTGGTTCGTCTGAGTACTAGAGATCGAGCCTTACTCCTTCCATCGGATCGTTTGTATTCAGTAATTCCAGTTCTTAGTCAAACTGGGTTAATTGTTGAACTTCTAGCTGAGTTGACCGAATCTGCTAGTAAATATCTACCGTTGGCAAGTCAATCAGCAAATCAACAGTTTCATACATGTCATCCGCCTATTGTTCACTCGTCACAGTTGAATTATGGTAATTGACTCTGTTCCATTTGTCTCTTTGTCTCTTATTTGAAAGTTGCTAGTGTAAAAATTCGAGATATCTGTTCATATCATGCACCGCATGCTTCTTTTTCTAAAGGAATTTTATTTATTTCAGTCCTGTTTTAGCATGTTACTTTTTACCTGTTGCTAAATCGAAACTTACTCAGCGACCTTGCACATGTTCGTATATTAGGCAGTTTACCACACCTCTTGTATGAGGGCCAATGATACTAGATGGTTGCCCAAATCTCAGTATGTGGTGAGGTGCCCAAATCCGTCACTCATTGTCTGAAAGTGATCTCCCTAAACCAATGAGTTACAACTCCCTGAAGATTATTACTAGGACAGATATTACTTATCTAAGAGACAGAAATTTATCTTGATGTAACCACCTACGCATCTTCTTTGTCCAAACCAGTGTCTTGTAGCGTAGTGAGATCAAACCTTACAAAATACATTGTATTTCATTCCAATCTTTTCTGTCTTGTTTACATGGCAAATAATCGTGAACTAAGTACTCATCAGTTGAACCACGGAAGAAACTGACATGTATCCGGCTAAAATTCAAAGGTGATCGAATAATGACTACATTTACTCAACGATTGCAAACCGTACTGAAGTACACTTTCTTTGTATATACAGTGAGGCGCTGCTAAACACGAACATATTTCATTTCATCTCAAACTATATTTAATTATTTACTTGTACTTATCAAATTAGTTACATTAGGAGGATAAAGAGACAGGCAGTTGGTCACTTTCTTGGATACATTCTGAGAAAACTTCATCTTAAACACTTGACTGGTGTTGATAGCTCAATTTCCTGTTATTTTCTTGACATGTTGAAATTCAAAATATCCCATCATAAACTGTCGATAAATAAGCAGTTTAGTTCAACTTTACTTCGCCTAGACGGCTAAAACCTGATCTTCGTATTAACCTATAACTATTACCTTGGCGAGATTTGTATCTTCGCTCCTCTTTCCATTTCTTATCTATCTTGGTTATGGTAAAAAGCCGTTGACTTCTATCCAGTTTCATCCTGTTACCAAACAGTTAGCTGGTTTATTGCAGTCGTACACTTCAAACTTTCTGACTGCCCTCGAATAGATTATAAATTCCAAACTCTTTATTCACCTCATTAGGTTAGGATTAATACTAGCCTGTAACAGCTGAAGAGACCCCGACGAAATATAGCGTTTACTGCGAAATGTCCTCGTGTGGTCACCGATGATATCGTAACATTGACACAAGGTAGCCATTCATAGACTGACACTAGTCGCGATGTAAAGACAAGTGTAAAGATCTGAACAATATATGATATAGTGTAATTGTGGATGGATCATCTCAACATAGAAGCTTACGCTTCCGTACGCGATTCAGACAGACAGTTGAAGACTTCACAAATTCATCATAGCGTCTTGGTCTGGTTACATTTAGCTTTCTTACAAATAAATCCCACTTCGATTAACGTGATGCTGTAAGAAAGATGGTGGCTCAGGGTGCGTAACACATGTGGAAGCTAGGTCAGTCAATGAAAGTTGACAACCGCATGAACTGACTCGTCAAATTTCACCAATACTTTAGTCTGCACCTTACATAGCTAGCACAACTGAACAGTACTGAAATGAATTAGAAACTGACACAATGACATGTAAAGTGGTAACAGTGTTGTCGATCTCCTGTGGCAGCAGTGGCAAGGCAGTAATTAAGGTGAAACTATGAATTGGAAACTGGGAAGAAACCGTTTCGGGAGGAGGTGGGAATAAATATGTAGTCCATTTACGTCTTGATGACTCATATCTAAATATGGATGTTAAACTACACATTAGTGGGACCACTTCACTTATCTGGGAAGTGTGATGAACCCTCGTGGTGGGCCAGTGACCGGCGGATACACTGATACAAAGGGCTCACTTCAATTTCCCCAACTTGTGCTATTTATAGCGTCTAATTGATATCTGATTGCCTATCAGTTTCAATGTACTTTTCTGCAGTTTCCTGTCTTGCATACGGCTGAGGAACAGTTACTACGGGTCGAAGATTTAAAGTGCTGGAGTGTTAGTCTGGTAACTAGGAAAAGTTTGTTGGTTCAAATTATTATCGGTTCAACTTTTCCTTCACGTGCATTTCTTTCATCCTCGTTATGGATATTTTCTCGTCACTACCTGGTGTGATATGCAAGGTTAGAGTATTACTACGGTGCTAACGAATATATATATATAAATATATAAACAGGGTTGCTGAGATTTTAGTTTCATTTCTGATAGTAGCTTGGAAATCGTTGCATTTGTTAGCAGTAAATCTTCTGTTTTTATGTAATTCCTTGTAATTTTAACGACGGGAAATTACTCCCTGTCGCACAGGGAGTGATCATTCTGACTCAGTGGCTTAGCAGACAACTCTCTAGTGTTTGAAGTGATAGGTCCTTGACTCGAGTTTTAATGAGAACAGCATCACTCATTGGGAAGCAAGTACACCTAGCTAACGAGTGTCAAATAGGATGTAACGCGCGTCCTGACTTCCCCTCACTCATCTGGTTATCTTTTATTCTGTGAACATATGTTGTATTATATTCTGCTATTAATCGACTGTTTCATATTCGCTTTTTTATTTCTCCTTCGTTTTCCTCTTTATCTACACAGAATCATCACATGAAGTGTTATCATCTTTTTGTCGTACAATTATTGACAAAGCACGAAATACCGGTGTTGTTGACCTATCAGATCTTGGTATCGAAGATATGGAGTGTTGTAAATTCTTAGGTCATATTGTTCGTAGTGGCGCAAGAGTTATAACGGAGATTCAACTTCAAGGTACATTATCTACAACATGTATATTCATGTAGTCAATGCATTGTATAACTTTTGAAACAGACATCTAGCTGACAACCAGATGGATCGTAGAGTCAAACGTACGCTTTCTAGTTTAAGCAGCTGAGTAAATGCGAAATTACTACTTTGCTCTCTTGTCATAGATGGTGCAGTGTAACTGGAAGGCGTGTACTTGTATCTACGTAAAGCTAATGAGTTAATAGAAACTAACATGTTGGGTGACGATTGTAGGCTGACTCGCTTCAGTATTGAAACCACTGACCTCCAGATTACTGTCTTTGCTATTCCACAAACTGACCCACGAGACTCTCACTTGGTGATAATTTTCATTTATTTGTTTTTGTACTTACACATTGTCAGTCACTAACAGATCTGTGGTTAAAAAGATGTCAACTGCATCCAAATAAGTAAATGGAACAACGGTAAAAGAATGTGTGTAGCCCTCCTCTGTGTTCAACAAAATTGGAGTAATTCATGATAGGAAAAGAACTAAACATCACAATATACAGACTGATGAACAGCTTCTAAGAATTTAGAATTGATCTACTCGGAAAAGTTGATATGTGATGTGAACCATTTGTAAGATTCATCTGAATACACGCACTCGAAAGTCGTATAAAATGAAAAGGCTATCTGGTTTCTTTTCTCGTAACAGTAACTGTTAGTTCTATTTTTAATAATGATTGATGCATGAATGTATATCATTACCTCCAAGATGATTTAAGGTACAAATTATGAAAATGATTAGTTCAATATGGCTCAATACCAACTCAACCAACTAGACAACGGTGAATGTATAGCCAATCACGAGAAAATAACCATGAAATTGCGTACATAAACATTAATTACTCATTAGTAATATAATCAATAGCGTGAAAAATGTTATACCCGTTTTCATCATAAACAGTATCACAACTAATCAAGACAAGATCGTCTAGTGAAGCGGACTGAAAAGATCAGTCAAAAAGCAAATATAATTAAGAAGAACGATAAATAAGGTTACCGACAAGATGAATACAAGGTCAAGAAGCTGATTGGTTCAGTTAAAAAAATTGTATAAATACTCATGAGAAAATCACTGTCTCCATCGCCTCAATTCACACTGAAAATGAGTATTGCATTGTCGTTAGTAGCACTGTCCCAGTCATTCAGTCAGTCAATATATTCAGCGTGAAACTTGAAATTACTGCGTAACGATCAATGTTGCAATCCCATGAACCAACATGTGGAGATACTAGGCGAAAAGTTGAAAAACGTAGAAATAACTGAAGAAAAATGTGGTCCAAATTCATAATAGAAGTTAACGATAGGTATGAAACAAAAAATGACATATGATAACCAGGATGAAAATAATGTGTGGATGGATCCTGAGCGATATCCCCTATAGTCTCAAACCAGCCAACCCCGGATGGGGAATCCATGCTACCTCACATAATTCAGGCCAACAGCTTCATCGACTAGTACCATTTTGAGCCTGATCGACCTCAATCTTTTTCAAGTTTGAACCGAATTCTAGGTGATATCCATTATAGACTGACATCATTTGGAGGGCTATTGGGAACCTGGGAGCATTGGACATCTGTTTCGCCCTGGCATAAAACTTACCAACAGTATGCACTCGTGGCCTGGCCGGGGGTCGAACGCGGGACCTTGAGGTTTACTGGCTAGCATGTTGCCGTCGAACCACTCGGTCGGAATCCGATGGTTCATACTTCCTACTGCTGTCAATTCACCATTTAGCACCATATCGATAGAAAGTAGAACTACTCATACTGTAGCGTTATACACTTGACCTTTTACCAACCGTTAGCTACCACGTTGGCGGGATGATCGGGTTTGCATTGATTGGTAACTGGTGAACAACCGATCATTTTGCAGTGTTCCCGGCGAACTAGGAGGCTCACCGTCGCGGTGAATCCTCCCTGGATGTTAGTTAATTGGAGGTAATTGGCAGGAAGCCCTGGACCTAGGGACTGAAGTCCCCCCTTAGATTTGGATGCCTATTATCTTACTGGGAGTCGAACTTTGAGCTCTCACTTCAAATGATGATCATACTACCACTGATCTACTTGTTCTGAATCTCGTCTGTCGTCCAGTAAGAATAACGAGAGAAGTAGTAGGGAGTGGACTATTGGTTCAACTGTGATGTGACCGCTCCAATACTTGAACGTACCATGAACGAACCATGGATTAGTCATGGTTGTATATTACTGATGATTCTCATAATAGGACGAAACGATTTTTCAATAGCAAAGACTTTTCAGGGAATTCATTACCTGATATCATTTGATGATGATTACCATCTTGAAGACAATAAACCTAGACTATTTTTGGGTTAGATTTATTTATATGACTGATCAACGTAGAACGATGCATTGAAATGCCATGGTGATTCGCTGTAATAGTAATAACAGTAATAATAAAACTAATATGTAAAGATTAAATGAGTCAAGCAATCTGATGCTATAGCTTATTGTCCCCGTATTTCAATTTCTAATTAATTTACCAGGAGTTTGGATCAAGTTCCATTTTCTGAGGTTGAGGCAGTCAAGTAGTATCATCCCTGGCCCGTCACACAATATGGTATAGTTCATTGTCGGTTACTGCATAAAAGTTGCTCAAGTTATTGAAAATGAACTCTGACTCAACCGTATCAAATGAACATTTAAATGTACATATCATTTTTTACTTTTTAGTTTGATGTGAAAAGTTTATTATTATTATTATTGTGTTGTCTTACAGGCAATTCATTGACTACTAATCTAGTGGATATTGAAAATCTTACAACTGGTTATTTAAATTTAGCGGATTATTTAAATCAAATCTCATCACAAATAATTAAATTAAATCTAAGCATGAATTTATTCAATGAACAATTTGTTAGTCGATTATTATCTGCTTTATCAAAACAATTGAAAGAAAACGAAAGGTAATTTTCAATATGATTATTAGTTTAAATAGTGTCTTACTTAAATGGAAATTGTTTTCATCCTCATTTTTATTTGCTTAAATTGTGTCTGTTAAACACTTTGGATCCTGAATAAATATGTATTAAAGTTTTGAAGTCGATGTGTACGAGAAAATGTTACATAGAGACATGAAGGATTTTCACTCGCATTGTTCCAAATTACAAGTGGATTAGACATACTTAAATAATTTTGTCATTATTATCTAACCTTTCTATCCATGAAATTACAACGAATAGTCTGAATTTAGTGTGTTTGTGATAAACAAATCCTCTGGCGAAATACTTTCCTATCTTCTTGTGATCACATTTCATCATTAGTCAATACAACAAGTAATAAAGCAATAGGATGAAAGATGTAGAAGGAGAGGAAAGTTGACCGAAAGCAGTAGACAGCATTTCTGTCATCTCACTGATCCCAATCGGCTAGTCTAGATTTCTCAAGTGACTTTCCTTTCCTCCCTGAAACCGTTCGCCTGACGTCTGCGTTATTCACTTTGTGACACTAAGAGACACGGTTTGTGCTACAAAGGCAACCATGGTCAAACAATTTAAGCCTTCTCATGTCCTCCAATGTCTCAAATGGCCATGTTTCACAGCCATAGAGTAGAACAGAGCGAAAAGCAGCACAGTACACTCAGCCCCTAATAGACAATCAGGTATCGCAGCTGTGCTGCAGACGGTGTAAGTTGACAGAAGCCAATCGAGTCTTTTTCATCTATCCAGAGGTTTCATCGACCACTGACTAACCAACGCATCAGAATTGATCTGACTTCTCAGCTGAGTAAAATGGTGAACGAACTCAATCACTTAACTCTATTGCTAGCTGGGGCATCGCTGAAGACCAGTCCTGGAGCAAGGATTTGTATTTGGATGGTGAGAAACCTATCCCAAACATTCTCATTCAAAGTGTCCAGAAGACTCTGCATCTTGTCAGTGTCTTCACGTAAAAGGACTATGTCATTTGCGTATTCTAAGTCCAACGAAAATTCTCCTGTGATTTCGTCAGTCTCTGTGTAGTCAGATGATGAGAGGGAGACGTTCATAAGAACGTCTATGGTAAAATTGAATAGGAGGGAAAAGAGTGGGCATCGTTGACGGATAACACAAGATGTATACAACTTACGCAAAATCTCAACACAGGCTCTAACACGCCCACGGGTGTTCGAATTAAAAGCCTTAAAAAGAGTGATCTACCTACTCGGTCCCCCTTTGAAAGTGAGACACTGCCATAAGACTTCTCGATCGACGGAGTCGAGAAATATAGCTATTGCCGGGTGTCGGTAAATGTATCTGTGTTCCAGAACCTGATGGAGTGTGAATATTTGCTCGATATACCCAGGACCAAGCCTGAAGCCTGACTGGTTTTCTCAGACTTGCTGTTCCCGAGCTCTACTGGTATTTTATTTCGAACCTTAAATTCATGCTGATCAATGAACTTATTTTTAACTGCCTCCACAGCCATATAAGTCGATGTACTACTTAACAGACTCATTACATCAAAACTAACCATTTCCCCACAATCTTGATGATCAGTTGGTTAATCTAGCCTCGCCTAGTTTACTAGTTATTAGATGATCCTAAGCCCGGATAAAGAGGGAAGGTTGGGTATAGGATTAGCAACCCTATCCTGTAAAATCAATCTAACCCCTGAAGAAACTCCAAAGCACAAAAGAAAAGAAATAAAAACAAACTTATTCCCTACTGGAATCAGGGAGACTAAATGACGCCTTCTGGAAGCCAATTGACCGATGTGTCTTCTCTCAATGAAAGCAAAAGTAAGAAAGTGGACATGGAATGTCCGAACAATGTTTGAAGCTGGCTGGCAAGACTGCCTAGATTGCCAAACAGATGAGAAGGCATAACATAAAAGTGCCAGACTAGGAATCTACGAGGAATCTGTAGATTGAATGAAAGTGGACTCTGCAAACTTTCAACTGGAGAGTCAATAATCTACTCGGATATTGTCACCCAAACGACAACCACGAGCACACTGAGTTTTGGAGTGGCTATCATGATGTCCCCTCCCAAGAGCATCGAAAGCTGTCTCTCATGCAGTGGGAAACAATCTCCTCAACCGTCAGGATCATGACAGCAGGATTCAAATCAAAATGGAGGAAGGTCACAATCATGCAATGCTACGCTTCACACCTACAAATAATGCTAACCAAGAGGAGAAGGAGGAATTCCAGAGACAACTGCAATCAGTGCTGGACAGGACTCCAGTCCAGGTGGTGACATCAAAATTCTAATGGGTGAGGTGACATGAATGCCAAACTGTGAGCAGACAACACAGGAAGAGAACTCTTTATCATGGGTCGATGGGCACTCGGTGAAATGAACGATAATGGAGAACTGTTTGCAGACTTCTGCGCATTCAACGACTTGGTGATTGGAGTCAGGCAATGTGTACAAACACAAGGATATTCACAAAGCGACATGGATTTGATTTCACCAGACACAAGGACATGCTAAAAATTAGATTGACTTCATCTCAATGTGAAGAGAGTAGAGACGCAGCCTACTGGACACAAGATCAGATCAAGAAAGGGGGACAGACAGAGGTTCACAACAATCACACGACTATCTAGTGGAAGGAACCTACCTTCAAAATCAAGTTGAAAGCCTTCAAAGAAATTGGTGATAGGCCAGAGTTCAAGTTCAACACCCAGAACAGAAACTGAACTGAAGGATGAAACTACAAACGACATCTTCACGTCAGTCAGTCAGTCAGTCAGTCAGTCAGTCATCAGGACAAAATGGGAGACATTGAGCAACATCCCTGAGGTAACCTCCGTGGAAGAACACTGGAACTCTTTGAAAGCTGTGTGGAAAGAAACCTGGATAACTGTATGAGGAAGGAAGAAGAAATAAGGGAAGGAATGGAATGGATCTCGACGGACACATTGAGGATGATACACGGGAGGAAGATGGTGAAGCAGAAGATGAACCAGTTCAGTGCAGTACAGAGATTGAGTAACGAAAAGGGGAACTGAATACAACCTATAAAACATTACACTGGACAAAGCAGTGAAGAAGAGTGGGTGGAAAGATGAAAGACACTTCTACGACACATTGGCAAGTGAAGCAGAACAGGCCGCTGGTAGGAGGAGAGACAGGGACCTGACAACACTATAACAAATAAGCAGGTTACTATTTTTTGGAGGAGATCAACTCAGCACAGATGAAACCAATGAAAGATAGTGACGGAAACGTAGTTACCGGCAAAGAGTAGAAACAAAGGAAACGATGGACTGACCACTTCAAAATGCTCTTGAATCGACCGCTTTCACATGCAACTCGTCCAGAAATACCACCAGCCACCCAGACACAGAATTACCAGTAAACACAAGTTCTCCGACAAAAGCCGAAGTCCTGAACGCCATAAAGTTGCTGAAATCCGGGAAAGCAGCACGACCAGATGGAATTCCTCCAGAATCACTGGAAACAGAGGTAGAGACAACAGCGGAAACGCTCACACCACTGTTGCAAAAGGTTTGGAAGGAAAGAAGTAAGGAATGAAAAGTACGTGCCAGTCGATTGGAAGAAGGGCTACCTTGTCAAACTCCCAAAGAAGGGAGACCTAAGTGTTTGCAAGAACTGGCGAGGAATCATGCCCACTCCCTATCCACCCAGAGCAAGCAAAATATTAAGCCGTATCATCTTGGAGAGACTAAAAGATGCGCTGGATTCAAAACTACGACTGGAACAGGCTAGCTGGCTTCGGGAAAAACAAGTCATGTACGGATCAAATTGCAGCACTACACATTATCATAGAACAGAGTATAGAATGACAGTCAACTCTACTCTACCTCAACTTCATCGATTTTGAGAAGCCATCCAGCAGCGTCGACCGATAAGTAATTTATCAGGCAACTTCTTTACCACTACCCTTTTAATGGCACAAATCTTTATGAAGCTCATTCAGCAACTATATGCTATATGATGCTACATGTCAAGTGATTCACGATGGAAAGCTCACTGATGCCTTTGAAGTGAAGACAGGAGTAAGACAAAGTTGCTGCCTACTATCGCGATAATCTTCTTGATTATTGTCGACTGGACTGGATCATGCAACAGACAACCGTGTAGAGCGAGGTGTGCATACGCTGTTTGACCGGTTAAAAGACCTTAGGAGAAGATTTGGATTTCGACGATGGTGATTTTGTTTAATGTCGTGTCGCGCAAACTCGAAGATCTACAGGCGGAAACCAACAAGTTGGCAAAGAGATGGCGAAAACGGGACTTCCTTCAGAAGACAGAGGTGATGAAGATATCCAGCAAACAAACAACAACAACAAGCACCAATCGCTACCAACGGAAGAAACCTAAAGTAAGTTGTTTTTCATCTACTTATCTAGGCGCCATCCTCTCAACTACAGGCGGCGGCAGAGACACAGATGAGGACGTCACAGCCAGGATGGGAAAGACAGCAAGATAGATCTTCATTTAACTGAAATCAGTGTGCAGATCCACTGCACTCCACTCCACTCCACTCAACATAAAGCGTGAACAAGATCCGCATTTTCAACACTAATTCAGTCAAGTCAGTGTTTCTATATGATGGTTCAGAGACTTGGTGCCTCATGAAAAATATTTCCAACAAACTACAGCCATACACACATCAACAACTGCCACCTACGCTCACTCGATACTGACACTCACACTGAAGATCAGATGGCCAGAATAATAAAAATAAAAATCAGCAACAAGGAAGTGTGGCTGGCAACGAACGAACCAACCAACCAACAATGTATCGCCCAACAAATATGCAGTAGAAGAAAGTGGAGATGGATTGGATTGAAGTGAGCATACACTGAAAAGACCATTTTGGGACATCGTGTGTGAGGCAAGGCCGTCGTGTGGAACCCAAATGGGAAGCGACGAGTTGGGCGTCCGAAGCGAGGGTGACATGAAGGAGATGGTATGAGGAAGCGATGAAAGCTTCTGGGCAATCGCGGTGCCAGCATCAAAAGACTGCAGAGAACAGAGTGGAATGGAGACGTGCTAGTGAAGTCCTATGATCCACTAGAAAGCTAATGGACAAATAATACATAATGAAATGTCTATAGATGTTTCCGTCGTTACATGTTTAGCTGTTTGACTTCAACTTTTGGCATTTTTAAATTTAACAATGATTTTTCTGGGATTGTTCTTCTTTTACAGTTTTTGACTGCGTTTTACAGCAATTCTCCTCACTTTGTGTTGATTGAACGTTGTTAGATCTGAAATTGATACTCGTCAACGAAAGTACGAAGGTGTAAACTAGCATTACTCTTTGTGGTCTTGTAGTGATTTTGTTTATTTACTTTAAATTTAACCGATTAGATAGAAAAGGGTTGTGAACCTGTGACCCGCCTACTTGTTTAATGTCTAGTCGTTGGGTCATAGAATAAAGAATAATTGTATTAGGACAACACCTCTCAGTATACCTTGCATATGTTCCTAATTGACATCTGCACGAAAATTATACATATCTTTACTAAAAATTTCCTTTCAATTATGATAGTGAATGAAAAGATAAAACGTATGATCTCGAACACACCTACGTCGTTTTAAGTTGTCATACTTCACAGTATGCAAAGTATGCAAAGAATGGGTTGATAGAGTAGGAGTAATATCAAAGTTTTGAGAGAATGAAGAATCTGAAGATAAATGTCAATGCAAATATTCAAGCTTCAAAAGATTTAAAGAATGAATACATCTGCGCCAGTGTGACCGATCCCCAGCCGTGTCAATAAGAGTCCTCAATCACTGATTCCTTTCGTCTCGAGGACCCCAACCACACAGTCTACATCTCCCCATACTTCTGCGAACAATAGTCAGAGACTCCACCAACTGGTGCCACGTCTATTCTGGTCTGGTCACCCTGAACCTTCATCCAATTTAATCCAACTTCCACTAGCATGGTACTTTGAGGTACACAGTGGCTCGGCATGTGGGACACATCCGACACTAAACGCGAACAACGCTATGAAGATATTTGTGATCGAAACCCTGTAACTGCTTGATATCTTCTACTTCCAACGGCCATGTCTCACAGCTGTATAACAGGACAGAGTGGACTGGGTGGCGCAGTATACTCGTCCTTTGATAGATTGTCGGATACCTCACCACTTGGTACCAGATGTGACACAAGTTACCATCTGCCAAACGGGCCTTCTATATCTGAGGTGAGATTTCGTTAGCAAATAACCCGTTCAGTAGGTTGATGAAACTTCCCCATTAGGTGAAGTGGCTGACATATTCCACCACGTCACTAATCACCATATATTATATCGTTTTCTACTGTATCCTTCAGTCATCAAATTATCTTTATTGTTAGTGCTGTTCCTGTCTGTTAGCCATCTAGAGGTATTTCTTCTCCTTAACTGTTTCTTCCCGTTTTCTCTTTTTAGCTCCTGCATACTTATGCCTCGACTTCAATATCTAAGTCTGAGTTATAATCCACTTCTTGGGCGTAATATACAACAGTTGGATACCGGTGTTACCAATACATTTGGCAATGAATTGATAAACAATTCTCCTAATTGTTGGACAGTATTTATTGAGGATATTTTAAAGGCTTTTCCTAAATTGACTTACTTCAGTCTGGCTGGATGTTCATTAGGTTGTATTACTCCAGACAGTTACGATGTTCAAAGTCGAAGACACTCCATTTCTCGTAATATGTTTACAGGTGGGTTCCTACTTCTTTTTTTGTTTAAATGTGTATTCTCTTTTTCTTGACAGAGAATCGCTATTACCTCTGATAGATATTTAGGTATAAAGTGGTGTAAATTTCTTTCCGAGAAATTCGAAAGCAAAGTGATTCTCCAGCAAACGTTCGAGTTACACGTGAAATCCAAAACACAGGATTTGTCTGAGATATGCTAGTGATTAATAAATTGCAAACCTCGAATCATGAAGTAGCTGTGGTTTAGCGCTATCAGAGCACCTTACAGGGAATGCATCAACAGTACAACACCATGTCCAAGGCGAATTAGCAAGGAATACAAAAGACGAGCATATGTAGAACAGATACGAGATAAGCAAATGTTTAAAGGAAAAAGAAAATCAGGGTAAGACAAAGGGAATCCAACATTGTCATGAACCGGGAAGGGTACTCATTTCTAGGGGTATTATTAAATAAGACACGATTGGATAGAACGAGCAGTCGATCTACCGATGAAGTAACATTATAGGTAGAAATATACTATACTAAGTAGTAAAAAACTAAGGATATAAAAAACGATACAATAGTAACATCTTACAGGGTAAACTAGAAAAGTGAAAGGAGTTAACAAGTGGTTGTCACTAGTAGTAGTTGTGAATTTGAATTCTTGCTTAAGTGATATTTTACGTCTCAAGGTTTGATCCCCCCCCCACATACATGCATCTTTCCAGTTGTAGTCAGCATGCAATGATCCAACTTTCTGTCAGTCGGCTAATTTGTAGATACGTCACACCACAAACTAATCAGTTCACATCAAACATAGAACTGTTTGAAACTAAGGGGAAAAAGAGAGAGGGAGAACTGTATGGTTGTTTTTTTTTCTCTGTGAAAACTTTTCAGTTCTCCTACTTATCCATAACTGAAAGTCTTTAAATATCACCATTTGTTTATCACTATTCCTTTTTTGGAGTGATAGTGGTTCGCATTTTAGAAAAATCCCACTTCATTCACTATGAGCAGGCAATCTTCCTGACTGTTGACGTGATTCACCTAATCAGTCTTGGCCTCCTATCGACACTAAGGGGCATTAACCTTGAGGCAAGTCAATAGATAACAAAATTTTGGCATTTGTGTTGTCAGATGACTTGTCAGTTGATTGCTTTGTTTAAGATAGTCTTCATTGTGAAATGTACTCTCCGAAGTCTCGTGGTTTGACCCCCGTATATTGATTAGGTTGAGGACATACGCAACTCATTCACTATGAACTGAAATGGACCGGCTATCACCTTCTGTGGATCATTAAATGTCTCCCTAGGTGAAGTTTAGTATATTGTTAGTGGAAATAATCTCCTTATTTTTGTTGGGTTATTTTTTTTCCAGTCTTCATTTTTGATAAACCTGTAGATTCTTTAATGGTAATATGTAGGCTTCAGTTTTACGGGTTGCTTGGTTCCTCGAAAAACAAGAAGAATTGACCAAACGGTAAAACGCTTATTCGCAAGTCAAAGCAATGTACGAAGCAACACCTGAAATGATGATGAAAGAGGTTTATAGCTCAAGATAAGGATGACAGCGGTTTGGTGTTCTCTGAGCTTTGAGTTTCTTTCGTGAACATTATAGCACTAGACCTTCTGACATCCTCTTCTTTATCAAGTTAATGCAGCTGTAGATATCGCGAAGCATGATGATGAAATGTTCACAACAAAATACCAAAGCTCATAGAATAGCGAACTTCGATGGAAATGATGCCTGTGACACTTTTCAGTCGCTTCAAAATCAAAAGCAGAAATTGTTCTCATATTCTTTCTCTGAGTAACTGAATGAATTAAGTGTTAGATGGAGTCAAATTTTAGTGGGAGCTTGTAACCATCTCACGTTTTTATGTTGCCTCTTTTTCGATTTAAAATCATGTAGTTTTTTTAGAACTATTTATTTTATCCAGAAAATGCTTCCCTGTCTCTTGGCAAACTCAAGAATCATCGTATGCGAAATAGATTACTTCTAATCACTACAAGTTGCATCAGGGAAAGTTAGGTCGATGTCTTTATCTTAGACTATATGTGGTTCATTAACTCCGGCAGTGAACTTTCAACCAAGTGGATGAGGTGTTCGAAAACCGCTCCACCTAATAAGGTTTGGTCAGCTAGGTAGTATCATTAGGTCTCACACATTAAGTGTGGTTCATTACTGACAAAATTTTCCTGAGTGCGTTTCACTTTTTCGTTTGTTTTACACTAATTTACTATTTTGAGGATATAGTATCCGATTCTTCACATCAACACAGATGAACAGCTATTGATATGAGTTCGTTTTACAAAATATGGAAAACATAACTAAGAAACATCCTAGAAACTTTAGAGGATCTCTGTAAGTTTAAGAATCTAGATATCTATTCATAAATGGAAAACGTCAGACTGACCTGACTTTTCGATAATTTGATCAATCGATAGGGAAAATCAACTGATCAATTAAAAGAGTTGCCAGAAAAACCAAACATTCAAGAGTGTGAGTAAATTCTAGTTTACCGTAGTAGGGATATTGCTTGGAATGATTACAAAGGTATCTTAGTTAAAACATGTGACTAGAAGGAAAAAAGACCATCGACTGGTCCTTAATTTGCAAAACAGGTAAGTGACAGCGAAGATAATCATCTTTCGATGACTCGTTTTCACAACTGTGAAGTTGCAGTTACATAAATAAAATGATAGAATATTCCAGACACGTTTTCATTCAGACCTCAAACTTGTTCGATAGATATGTATATAAAGAGAATAATTCGATATCACGTAAAACAAGGTTATAGTCTCAGTAGTTTTCATAAAATACATTGAACAGTAAGATCTGGTATCTGGCAGAATATCTGCCTGTCACAGTAAAGAGATTGGTTACTCATGCTTCTTTTGAATAAATAATCGAGTTTTCAAGCTATAAATTGCCAAACGTTGACGAGGGATGACCGTAGAAATATCCTTACTTATCTGCTTCATCTTCAGGTGTATCATTTCGGTTGTAGTACTCTACATAAGCATTCTTCATTTAACTAAAATGTGAAATAATACTGCTGTTTGCCTCCTATCATCTAACACCAAGATACAGTACAATGCAGTATCGCGTCACTAAGATTGGTGAAATCATTGCAAAACGTGATCGCTAGAGTTCGATTAGTGTTTAGCACTAAGGACTAGATAGGTAGATCGGTTACTTGGTATTGACTGATTCATGTACGCAATCCAGTCCTACAGAAGCTTAGTCGTGGTCTGAATAGGTTAATGGTAAAACGCTGATGATTGCCAACAGACGCAAAACTCAGGTCTAGAACTTACCATATCAAGGTTATTGAAGGAGAAAACATGCATGCACATGCACATAGATATCGTTCAAATTGTTTAGTTAGTGTTCGGAAAAACGCATTCAACTGAAATTTCTGAACTTTGCATCAGGGTATAGAGATAATGTCTCTTCATTTTAAAAAACAGAAATAACTTCTGACTGAAATCAACTCTCAGCGTCTTTTATTTCCTCTTGCTTTTTCACACGGTACAGCAATAAAGCGTCTTACATCATCTCTAAATGGAAAGTCAGATTCATCCTGGTTTGGTTCATGTTAATTAGGTATATTATAGGTTACTCTTCCTCATATGTGTGTGTGTGTTGTAATTACACGAGCTGGTTCGAAACTTCTGGAATATTACCAAACAAGGAAGGTACCTCAGAGGCATTCCGAATGATCTGCAATAAGAATGGGATGGAGATAGCCTTTAAACCTGCAAAGTCACTTGGAAACAAGCTTTGTCAGTTAAAATATCCTATTAATCCAATTAGGTAGGATAATTTAGTTTGCCAAATCCCTCGCAACGACTGCAAGGTCATAAGTCAAAGTAGTAGCACAAAAACCTGGCTAGGTCAAAATTGGTAGATCCTAATAGGATAAGGTCACCTGAAAAAAGCTTACCTATAGCTATGCATCCGATGACATGCAACCATGCATTAGGATGGGACAGATTGAAAATCCTGAAAACTAACCCAGCGGACTCGTTGTTTATCAAATCAACATTTAATATGCGCAACAAGAATGATAAAGCACCTTTTTCAGATAATATGGTAGGTCCTACTACCTATTTCACAGAGGAGAACTATACGAAGGACGTTTCGAAGTTGTTGAGTTGTCTTGATATGACTATGCACGATAAATTGTTTCCGAAACGTAATCCAGTTAACGATACTGCTCCTTCACTGCGTGATACATTTAATGAATCAATTATAATGCTAGAGTGAGTCCATTGATCGTTGTGCACTGTAAATATCCATAGACTGTTCAAATATTTTACGGATAGTTGATGGAAATATATAAGATCACCTTTGATTGATCTCGAGTGATAGACTATTGATTCAGATGAGAATGGATGCCTGGATTCACATCCTGTAGTAAGTGAGCTTTCATTTTGAACTTCGGTCATTACCCTATCGTCCGACTGATAATTGATTGTTATATGCTGGTTGCCACGGAACTTTAGTTCATTACTCTTTGAGTTGTATTCAAAATTCGCTAATTTTTTTCTTCTGAATACCCTGGAAACTTCAATTCATCATCTTCTTACATAATCTTTAAACATTTTTTATGATTTCTTTTTTAGTTACTTTGATCAACTGTTCCCCTCAATAGAATATTTGGCTATAAATTAGTGCATAGTTTGATTACATATTATTTCCCCTACAATTGCATATTGCCTATTTTGTCTTTTATATAGATTCATTTGTATCCTGTTTATCAGAATTGGATTTAAGCTGGAATCCTCATATCTCTCCTACCCAACTAGTGGATTTATTCTCAATGGGTTCTTTGAAAGCATTACGATGTTTACGTTTAAGAGGATGTTCTACGTCGTTCTCTTCAAAATCTGATTTATCTACTATTCAGTGTCCAACTAATCTTCCCCTTAGTTCATTTGAATTATCATCTGTTGACTGGTTACCTAAGTCTTCATCAAAAGAATTAATGAAACAAATTGAGAAATTCGATAGCTTAGATAAACCATCACTAGGCGATCAATTGTTAATTGCTCTTTGCTCTGTACTGATTGGAGTAGGTTGATAAACTTTAAAATTCTTTTAATCATTTATTATCCTTAAATAATGAACGCTTTGGGCATAAATCTGAGTATACTTGACTGGTATTCGTTTCACACCTGTTAACTGTTATATGATTCTCCAGGACTAGTCTACAAGTACTAAGGACTACCCTATCAAACTCCTGAAGAAGGGTGACCTAAGTCTTTGTAAGAACTGGCACGGAATTGGAGATGGATTGGGTATACGCTAAGGAGACCGTTTGCGGATATCACGCGCCAGGCCCTCGAGTGGAATCCAAATGGAAAACGACCAGTTGGTCGTACGAGGATGACTTGGAGGAGATCATGTGAGGAAGAAATGAAAGATTATGAATGCTAGTGGAGCCAGGTTGAAAAGACTGGAGAGAAGAGAGTGAAATGGAGACGTGCTACTGAAGCCCTATGTTCTACTAGGAACCCAAGGGACAAATAATAATAATAATAGTCTACAAGTACTGCCAATCTAATGATAGCTAGTGAGGCGGTAGAATATATCGACCACTTCACTTACTTAAACGGCAGCATCAGCCGATCTGACGGGCTAGTTGCTGACGACACTTCAGCTCAGATACAGAAGGCTCGTTTAGCATTTGTCAACTTGTGTCATCTTCGGCGCCGAGTGGCGAGATATCCAACCAGCTACCAAAAGGCGCTGCATATCGTTCTGTCCCGTTATACGCCGGTGAGAAATGGTTGTTGAAAGTAGAAGATATGAAACGACTAAAGCCTTTTAACCATAAATGTCTTCGTAGCACGTGTTTGGTGATGTCACTATTGAGCAATGTTGAGCTCAGGCGAAGTATGCCAGGTGAAGAAGGTAAGTCAATGGATAAGGTTGTGAACCTTAGTTGACTGTGGTGTCTTAGACATCTGTTGCGCATCCCGAACCACCATTTACCTCGACGTATAATGCTAGGATAGGTTGAGTTGAGTTGGAAGGGAGCCCATACTCACCGGACATGGCACAAGTCCATGAAGTCCCTGGCTGTTAGTTTGAGCCGTGTGGGAATATGCAGACTACCTGGTTGAGGTCTTTGCGACGAAACTAATCATTGAATGGAGACTGTTGGTGAAATGACTTAAAATCGGTTACATTGACGTAGGTATATTCACTCTTTGACATCTAAAGGTTAAATGCTTTGAACAAACTTTATTTTCAAATTCGTTCCTTTCTCATCCCCTTCTGCCTATTTTTATATCAGTCTTTTTTCACCCACTTGTTGTTTGGATGCGATTTTTAAGTGTGGTAAGTTGAATTACTTCACTTTTGTACAAGTTTCCACGTCGATTTTCTCTGTCTAATTGTGCTCTGCCAACAAAAATATGCGCAGCTAGGTAGTATCATCAACATCCACTACTGAAGTTTCACTTACTGAGGACTACTTAGCTGTTTTCTACGTCATCGATGAAGCTTATTAACTGATAGCTAGTGAAGTTATCATAAAACCTCTGGAATTCATGCATCAGATCACTTCACTAAACTAAACAGGAGGAGGATTTTAATAGTGTTTTATTATCTAAGCTGGATAGTTCAATCGTGAAGCTTTCATTGCCATTCTAGACAACATCGTCAGCGTAAACCTCAGAATGAAGTGAGGTATATGATTCCACAAGTAGCTTAGTATCTTGTCCTGTTGATTTCGTGTGTAATTGGTTGCCTTGTTAAATTCTTATCACTGTCTTCACACACCTAACTTCTGCTATTTCTGTTGTCATCCAGTTTTTATTATTACTTTATTATTAGTCCTTTGGGTTCCTAGTGGAACACAGGGCTTCACTAGCACGTCTCCATTCCACTCTGTTCTCCGCAGTCTTTTGATGCTGGCTCCGCAATTGCCCAGAAGCTTTCATTGCTTCCTCATACCATCTCCTTCATGTCACCCTCGCTTCGGACGTCCAACTCTTCGTTTCCCATTTGGGTTCCGCACGACGGTCTTGCATCACACACGATGTCCCAAAATGGTCTTTTCAGTGTATGCTCAGTTCAATCCAATCCATCTCCACTTTCTTCTACTGCATATTTGTTGGGCGATACATTGTTGGTTGGTTGGTTGGTTCGTTCGTTGCCAGCCACACTTCCTTGTTAGTTATTCTTATTTTTATTATTCTTGCTATCTGATCTTCAGTGTGAGTGTCAGTATCGAGTGAGCGTAGGTGGCAGTTGTTGATGTGTGTATGGCTGTAGTTTGTTGGAAATATTTTTCATGAGGCACCAAGTCTCTGAACCATCATATAGAAACACTGACTTGACTGAATTAGTGTTGAAAATGCGGATCTTGTTCACGCTTTATGTTGAGTGGAGTGAAGTGGAGTGGAGTGGATCTGCACACTGATTTCAGTTAAATGAAGATCTGTCTTGCTGTCTTTCCCATCCTGGCTGTGACGTCCTCATCTGTGTCTCTGCCGCCGCCTGTAGTTGAGAGGATGGCGCCTAGATAAGTAGATGAAAAACAACTTACTTTAGGTTTCTCCTGTTGGGTGGTATTATGGATTACTTGACGAGTTTTATCTCTGATTGCATACCTTACCTGTATTTTTACTGACGTACCTTTAAAGTCTTCTTAAGATTACATATATGTATTATGGATACTTATACCTACAAACAAGTAATTTGATTCGAGACAACGTTTTTACTTGCTATCTGATATCGAATGAATTTACTCTAATTCTGTGCTGTTTAACTCAAATGATTAGATTGAATTCTTTGAAAACAGCGTCATTGAACTTAAGGCCAAGTTCTCTGCTTACACGTTTAGTCTCAATTTTTGCCGTAGGTTACTAAGGTGTAGAAGATGTAACTCATAAGGGAAAATATTTATTTATACTGTACTCACACATTATTCTACTTTATTGTGTTTCTCAGGGGAATATTCGTCTACAAATACTTGACATGGGACATTGTCAATTGACGTATCATTGTCTGACAAGTTTAAAAAGGTAGTTTCTACTATTCATCGTTTCCCTCTGTTTTACTGTGTGTATTGGTTATGGCCAGCCATCACTACCATTCCTTAACATTATTTCCTTGTGGCATTACATTATATGTCGAACAAAATGTTTACTCTCCGTTGTCTCTGTACTCACTCGTATAGGTAGGCAGGGTTCAAGGTGTTAGTGATGATGATTGACGTAAATGGAAGGGTCTATTGCGACATAAATAAAGTCAACCGTGTCCAGCCAAGATTTTTAAATGATGGAAAATGATTGTGGAAATGTGGCAATGGTTTGATATTCCCTCAGCATTGATCATACATGTCTCATCACTAGGCTTATCGATGTCATCAGCACTGATTGCATAGACAAAGTGAGATGTCATTGCATTTTACGCGAACAAAGCAAATTCAGTCAACAGACACTTCAGTACAGATCCGATGTACTTCAAGGGGGAAAAATCATCTGACAATCAACCAAACTATAGTTGTGTGAGTAACAGACAGCATAGTTTCACTCAAATATAATTCAATGAAATTTGAAGTTGCAGAGTTGTAGCTGTAACCAAAGCCTCTTCTTCAATGTGCATTCAGAGAAATACATTCAAGGTTAGCGAAAGCACTGTCAGAACATTCTTGTAACATTTGAACATGCTTCACTTCTTTATTGCTTATCATACTAACAAGCCTAATGATGAAACATTCACAACCAAAATATCAGAGAAGACAAATTCATCGATATCTCATCTACAAGAAGACTCTGTACATAAGCCTTGTACTTCTTGCGGTGCTCATGAACATAGTATGTAATGAAACAACTAGAAAGTTTATGCTGCTTGTTCAATTCGAACTGGTGTCACTCACTGATGTATTCGACACATATATTACCTCTGAGTTAGTGAAGTTATAATGGCTTGTTACAGATGTATTGACTCTGTGTTATAGCACAAATTTCTAAAATCTTGTTAATATTGCAGCTTTCCTTATAAGTTGTTGGAAATTGGTACAAATTTGTCATATATTTCTGTGTAGAATCGGTTACCGATTTTGGAGGCATCAAGCAAAATATACCAAAGTTAGTGATACATGAAAAAAATGTTTAAATGACTACTTAATTGACTTTGATGTGTAGCTCACGCGCATGTAAGCTGTTCTATGGTGTTTTCATGAAATCAAAATTTATTCAACAACAAATTATTATTTATTATTTTTCCCTTGGGTTCCTAGTGGAAAATAGGACTATACTAGCACGTCTCCATTTCACTCTGTTCTCTGCAGTCTTTTCAACCTGGCCCCAAGACTGCTCATAATCTTTCATTTCTTCTTTACACGATCTCCTTCATGTCACCCTCGCTTCGGACGCCCAACTCATCGTTTCCCATTCGGGTTCCACACGACGGTCTGACCTGACGCGTGATGTTCCCAAACGGTCTTCTCAGTGTATGCTCAGTCCAATCCAATCCATCTCCACTTTCTTCTACTGCATATTTGTTGGGCGATACATTGTTTGTTGGTTGGTTGGTTCGTTGCCAGCCACACTTCCTTGTTACTTATTCTTATTTTTATTATTCTGGCCATCTGATCTTCAGTGTGAGTGTTAGTATCGAGTGAGCGTAGGTGACAGCTGTTGATGTGTGTATGGCTGTAGTTTGTTGAAAATATTTTTCATGAGGCACCAAGTCTCTGAACCATCACACAGAAGCCCATATTTTCGCTCCTCACAGTCCCCGACCTATAGCTGCTACCTTGACGTGGTGGTCGGGCTTGCATATCACAATGACCCAACGAGCTATGCTGGTGGAACGCTTGTTCCCTCGAGGTCCTACCATACCAGAAAGGTCTGTTGGATAGTGGTTAGACGAAAATCAGTTACCGTTGTGGTGTAAATTGCTACAGTGTAATGGGGGTCTCAGGGCGAAGTCGTACTGCTGCTAGCTGGATTCGGGTATGACAGCAGTAACGTGTTTCCCTTGGATGACTAGCAGTGCCATGCTAATGATGTCTTCTCAGTGGAAGGAGGGGGTTAAAAAGGTCGGCCTCCAAAATAACACACTCCACCATACCCCACAGTCTGCCGGGCCGGCGGTGTTGATTTATTTGTCTTTTCCTTTCGACCATCCGACCTCAAAACAATAAAAGTTCAAAATAATCATGCACAAAAGGCTGCATGTGACAGGCCTCAAGCAGATGTCCGATGGGCTCTGCGGTCACACAAATCTCTTTCAGGTACCTTAAGAAGAAATAGCCTTCCATGGTGTGGGCAGCCGGGAAGTGTCAACCGCCCTCACAACTCGATCAGCTCCTCACAGTTTGTTATATGATGCAGGCAAGTCGACCACAATCAGGAAGATGATCGGTGGTAGTAGGTGGCAACCTTGTCTTACTCCTGTCCTCACTTCGCTTCAAGGGCATCACTGAGCTTTCCATTGTGAATGACTTGGTATGTAGCGTCGTAATATAACTGTTGAAGGAGATTGATAAAGGTGTGTGGCATTAAAACCGTAGTGTTGAAGCAGCTGCCTGCCAAATTACTTCTCAGTCGATGCTATCGAAGGCCTTTCAAAGTTGATGAAGTTGAGGTAGAGTTGAATTGACTGCCATTCTATGCTGTGTTCTATGATAATGCGTAGCTTTGCAATTTGATCCGCAAGTTTGCATTGATACGAGAATAGTTTCATTGTACAAAGTGTTCTTATCAAGCTTACACATGACTTACATTTTTATTTTTATTTGTCGTTGTTATTGTTCAGTTTATTCGGTACACCTGGAGCCTCAATAACTACACTCATAATTGACCGTAATCCAATGTTGAGAAGCGTGATGATCTCAGAAACCCATCCATATCCATCATGGATTCGTGTACTTCAAGCCACGGCTCAATCTGCTTCAGCACTAGTCAGTTTGACGATAGATTTACCACAGCGTGAGTTCTCTTTTTTTAATTTGCGCAACAGTTTTTTTTTTCAATCTTCAAACTAGTTGGATATATTTGTTTATCGGCATAGTGATTATTCTCTTGACTTTGTTCGAAAACAAGATAATCGGAATTGATTTCGATATTTGGGTTGCAACTAGACATTGATGCTAGTGTGTTATTCTAGTCCATATCGTCAAGCACATCTTGGGGGTTGACTTCGTAATATTCTTTGTTGTTTTTAGAATCAATAGACCGTTAAAGCACCCAGTTGCGTCTGTGGATCAGCAAAATGAAAACAGTTTCTTGACGCACATAAAGTGTAATCAAAAAACCTCATTATTGTAATGATACTTGTAATTTTGCATCGCTATACAGGGCTGAATTGCTCGTCCTCTGACAGGTGGGCTCCTATGTAGAGGCCTCGATACTGCCGGATATAGGTCGAGCACTTCGACCGTGTACAACATCGGGAAATTACAAGTACCATTATAACAACTGACTATCGTTGCCCAAGAAAGCTGTCGTGCCCAGTGGGTTAGTCGATAACGCGTTTGGCGTCTGAAGCAAAGTCTCAGTGGGAACAACACTCACTGGGGTGCAGGTACATCCAGCTGACGAGTTTTAAGTAGTGCGAAACGCGCGTCCTGGATTCCTCTGCTAGTCACTAAGATCAATATAAAACCTAATAATATTTTCCCGTAGATTCACCTATAAATTTGTCGGAAATGTTTGGTTTTCATTTTCTGTTGAATCCTCAGACAGACTGACAAGCCAACTTAGAACTTTGCGCTCAAATGTGTCACATAATTCGCAACACTGGAGATACGAAACAAAGAAGCAAGTAAAAAAAGATTGTTATCTCAAAATCGTGGAAAACTTGGGTATATGATGTGAGAAGGGGAGTGTTGTATTTCCGAGTGGATATTACACTCACGTTTGACTAACAGCTTAACTGTGTATGCCAGGTTCATCGACTCCACCCCTCTGGACAAAATTGAGGAGAAGACTGAACTGTTGGGTGGAAGCGTTCACTACCTCTGAGAAGAATAGTCAGTCAACCCAATAAAACGTATATATATGACATACGACCTTGTCCAGATTTTGAAAGTAACATATTAAAGGTAAGCATTAACCAATCAGCAAATTACCTTGAAAATGGAGGGGGAAATGAACTACTGGCCATGCTGTAAAAACGGTGCAAAAACAAGAACTTAAAATTGGTAGGATTTAACAAACAGTGTTTTATGCAAACTTAGATCCTTCCAACTGGGAATAATTCATTGATGGTTTGTGAAGTCCCCCAAATTCCGAATGAAGTTATAGAAAGTCAGTATGGCTGCACCACAGTGGTGTCAATTTTGAGACATGTCAACCAGAGTCCTCAACCACTCATTCCATTCGTCTCGATGACCCCAACCATGAAGTTTACATCTCCCTGCACGACTCATACCAACAGTCAGTGACTTCGGGGACCGGTGTGAGGCCTTCTTCTGGACACCGTGAACCCATTTCCAACTTAATCCAAATTCCTCTAGCATGGCACGTAGAGGCAGAAGGTAGTGGCTTGGTATGCACAGTACATGTCCAAGCCATCTCAGTCGACGAAGGTTCACAACCTCATCAATCAACTTGTGCCACGGTGTTTCCGCCAAACGTGAGCAATGCTACGAAGACACCTATGGTCGATGTTCTGTAACTGCTTCAGGTTTTTTAGGTATCAAGTCAGCATACTTTGATCATGGCAATGCTTCGTTTATGGTCCATTAATCTGTTTCATAGTCTCTGTTACCCATTATTCTGTTGAATTGAATGTTACTCTACTTTTTAGTTCCAGATAATAATTCTGATGCTTTGACAGCAGCATTCACTTCAGTTGAATCAAAACTTCTACCGGCCTTATCTCCAACTCCTTTGCAAGAATTAGTTCTAGTTGACTATGACATCATCCATTGGACTCCTGATATATATCTCAACAACAACAATAATACTAACAATAATGTTCCGGTTGTCAGCAATTCAAGTACACATCGTTTCCTAACAATGCTATCCAATTTATTCACAGCACGGTTTGGCAAAATGGTGAAAATTAACAATAAAAATTGTCGTATAACCTTTAGCATTTTGTGATTCTGATGGAAAGATACATGGGGGCTGGTGAGACTATGTAATCATAATGTGTAAAAAGCGTGGATTTCTCTATTTTGTCCTGTAATTCTCTTCACCTCCTTCCCTTCCCCTGGATACAACTCACGTGGTTGTATATGTGCATGTATAGATGTTATTTTCTTTTTGTTTTATCATTGTTTATTTCTGAATATATTTTGTGATTAGCTTCATCATGAATAAATGGTGATTGTTCTTTCCATTCATTGTGGCTTATTTCCTGTAATAATTCTATTGGTTGCTTAGTTACCATCTATGCGTTACCTTTATGCATCTATTCTGTAGGGTTAGTGAAGGGAAATGCTTACGTTGAACACATAACTAGGTGGATTTTTCAATCAATGCAACATTGTAACACATTGTCCTCGTTTTTCAATTGACTGACTTCAGTTGTACCGCATTACTGTTCCTAAGTCTCGTATTCACCTCCGTTCTGTTTATTCCTGAGATCAACTTCATGGGTTTTCTGACTACTTTAAGGACCGCATCATGCAGCTGAATTTGACTACCTTATGGAGCCTAATACTAATGTTTTTAGATGATGTTATCCCTGGAAGAATTTTACAAGTTTTTCAAGGCTATGACTCATGTGTCAATATCAGGCTGATACAAGTCGACTGCTTTACGTTGGCTCTTACTCTACTTTTTTGTCCTCAGTGATAGGGTCAGCACTATTAATGCTCACTGCACACGGAAATCTTCAGTTTTGATAACTAATTCACTGAGTGAAAGTCGAGTGATCAACATAGTAAAGCACAAACCCAACTGGTAATAAGCCATAGGATTTCTGGTACAAAAGACCTAGTTGTTTGGTGTTTTCTGAGCTTTGAAGTTTGTTCTTGGATATATCACTTTTACGCGAATTAAATGCTGATATCGCCTAGCCTAGTGACGACACGTCCGGGAACAAAGTTCAAAGCCCGGACGAAACAAAAAAATCATCATGAGGTGGAAATTTTCTTTACTTCCTCAACCAGTTCCCTTTTTTCACTCTGTTTATCGATTACATTTCCCAATTTGTTGATATTACTTGTAAAATTACAATATCTTGGTCCAGTGTGATAGTTTATCGCAAGTCTTACTCTTGAACTTGATATGAATGTGATACACTTTACTGAATTCAGCACTTTAATAAGTTAGTCAGTAGTGGGTAGTGGTTAACAGTTAAACTTAAATAACGCAGGACACGTTTGCTCGAAGTAGACGTTACCCATCTTAGTTGCTGCCAATGTTTCGCTAAAAGTAGTACAATCCTAGGTTATAAAGAAGTCAACAGAAAAACACTACTTCTTTTTATCCAAGACCATACAACTTCGAATACGATTACACTGTGCCATCTGCAGATTGCCAGCAAAAAAGCAGGACGAACTATACTCAACGATCACGGTAATGTAAACTGCATGAACCGAGAAGATGACTTACAAAACTATGAGGCACTAAGAAACATTTCTCATAGTAGACCCTCATATGTGGGACTTCCTTTGATAACATGCCTCTAGAATTGAGTGGATAAATCTGGAACTGCGGTCCAAAAATAATATTTTCACAGCATTAAGTAAAGATTGCTATGAACCTTACAAGAATCATATGTAATGACTGTCAAAGCTTGTCTAGAAATGATATCATAAGTGACAGCAGAACATCTAGAAAGGGCTCTGGTAACTTTTGGTTGACCCGTAAAAGTCCAGCGCATATCGTGAGAGCCGTAAAAAACTGATTGCAGTGAGATTGAGATGCTTTGATAAGAAAGAACTCGGACGTCCAGTGACACTACGGATGATTAACTTATTCCCAAAAGCAGAAGCACAATTTTTCCAGTAATGTATGAGGTTTCACAATTTTAATGGCTAATTTATAATGGGTGGTGATAATTCCCTTAATCTGCAAAACTCAGTGCTGGGTGAACTAAGTACATCTGCGTCATATCATAATGTCAGTTATTCGTATTCATTTGTTCTTAAATTGAATAGGCTGAAGTACCAAGTTTCGTTTATGAATGAAATTCGAGGGTAACATTATTTTTCCCTGAAATGTCTGTGTTGAAGTAAGAGCGAATATCAGTCTTGTTTATTCATACCGAAGTGATGTTTCATTCTTAGACATGCGATTCATTCCGGTACTCTTCTCAGTTAGTAATGATATTTTGCACTTGAATTCCCTGCTTGTTCTTAACCAACTTAGAACTTTGCGCTCAAATGTGTCACATAATTTGCAACACTGGAGATACAAAACAAAGAAGCAAGTAGAAAAAGTTTGTTATCTTAAAATCGTGGAAAACTTGGGTATATGATGAGAGAAGGGGAGTGTTATATTTCCGAGTGGATATTACACTCACGTTTGACTAACAGCTTAACTGTGTATGCCAGGTTCACCGACTCCACCCCTTGGGACAAAATTGAGGAGAAGACTAAACTGTTGGGTGGAAGCGTTCACTACCTCTGAGAAGAATAATCAGTTAACCCAATAAAACGTATATATATATGACATACGACCTTGTCCAGATTTTGAAAGTAACATATTAAAGGTAAACATTAACCAATCAGCAAATTACCTTGAAAATGGAGGGGGAAATGAACTACTGGCCATGCTGTAAAAACGGCGCTAAAACAAGAACTTAAAATTGGTAGGATTTAACAAACAGTGTTTTATGCAAACTTAGATCCTTCCAACTGGGAATAATTCATTGATGGTTTGTGAAGTCCCCCAAATTCCGAATGAAGTTATAGAAAGTCAGTATGGCTGCACCACAGTGGTGTCAATTTTGAGACATGTCAGCCAGAGTCCTCAACCACTCATTCCATTCGTCTCGATGGCCCCAACCATGAAGTTTACATCTCCCTGCACGACTCATACCAACAGTCAGTGACTTCGGGGACTGGTGTGAGGCCTTCTTCTGGACACCGTGAACCCATTTCCAACTTAATCCAAATTCTCTAGCATGGCACGTAGAGGCAGAAGGTAGTGGCTTGGTATGCACAGTACATGTCCAAGCCATCTCAGTCGACGAAGGTTCACAACCTCATCAATCAACTTGTGCCACGGTGTTTCCGCCAAAACGTGAGCAATGCTACGAAGACACCTATGGTCGATGTTCTGTAACTGCTTCAGGTTTTTTTAGGTATCAAGTCAGTATACTTTGATCATGGCAATGCTTCGTTTATGGTCCATTAATCTGTTTCATAGTCTCTGTTACCCATTATGACTGTCAAAGCTTGTCTAGAAGTGATATCATAAGTGACAGCAGAACATCTAGAAAGGGCTCTGGTAACTTTTGGTTGACCCGTAAAAGTCCAGCGCATATCGTGAGAGCCGTAAAAAACTGATTGCAGTGAGATTGAGATGCTTTGATAAGAAAGAACTCGGACGTCCAGTGACACTACGGATGATTAACTTATTCCCAAAAGCAGAAGCACAATTTTTCCAGTAATGTATGAGGTTTCACAATTTTAATGGCTAATTTATAATGGGTGGTGATAATTCCCTTAATCTGCAAACTCAGTGCTGGGTGAACTAAGTACATCTGCGTCATATCATAATGTCAGTTATTCGTATTCATTTGTTCTTAAATTGAATAGGCTGAAGTAGCAAGTTTCGTTTATGAATGAAATTCGAGGGTAACATTATTTTTCCCTGAAATGTCTGTGTTAAAGTAAGAGCGAATATCAGTCTTGTTTATTCATACCGACTGGCACTATCGTTTACGAGACTAACCAGAAAGAAAATGCACTTTACATGAGAATAATACTATAGGTTTGATGTAGTTTCTCTCACAAATATACTGCCAATTTACAGATATTCCTGGTCTAACATTATGCCTTAGGGTTTTGTGAAAAAGTAAAAGGCTTTGATGTATATAACCATTCGCTAGATATCATACTATCGAGCTGTGCTACGTTGCATGCCAGAGTTACAAGTAATATTGAGCCCATCGTACTTGGTTTTTGGCAAGAACTCAAAATACTGTGCAATGATATTTGGTTATTTTTCGACTGCCTATTGGGTTTGATACAATTTTGAGATGAGAATGAAGAGAAAATACAAAGCTTTTGTCCAGGTAACCGAATTCTGCCAATTTAGAGGAGACAAAGAAAGTAGACTTCATTTCAGTGTCTTTATTTTTCATGGTTATGTTATTTTAGGCCTAATATTCAGTCGTAGGGTAATGACTGAACGATTGCTTGCTATGAGGTATTATTTCTTATCTGACAGTGATGTACTATGAGAGAATATACTTTTTATCATTATGCCAAAGGTTCGACTCTTTCATGCCAGCCATGTGAAATGAGATGATATATTTCCTGTGAGACATTTGAACTTTCAAAATATCATAGTTACTAGAGACATATATATACATTTGATAGCTGACTTCTAGAATTCTGTCTTTGTCCATAAACTTTGATTAAGCTTTCATTTTTCCAGATGAAATATAGTGGTAGCATTACAGTAGTAATTTCTAGTTATTTCAAAAGAAATTATTAGGTTATAACTAAAGCGATTCTATGTTTAAATTGGTGCAATTTTCTACGCAGTCCAATTGTTCTACTCCTGATTGACGTCATTTTAACGACTTGTAAACTCTCTACAGTTTCAGTGTTTTAGCGACTGAGTATTGAGCACAGTAATAGTTAAGCTAGGGTCATACACCAATTTTATAAACAGCGAATCTGAATTTCATCAGTCATTTCAAAAACTTACACCCCTTTCTATCTTGACCAAACAGACCTAAATCAAGAACTATTATTCCTAGGTTGGTTACCATAAAAATTTTGAAAAACAGCTTCCATACAGGCCAAGTTGCAGTTCCGGTTGCTAAAGATTGAAGCCATTGCCACTTTACAATCCAAGCAATCTGTAACCTGCTATATTTTAGTCTCAATTTCCATGGCATCATTTTTATGAAAACCATGCAATATTTTGAGACTGTCTTCTTCCCATATGTTTCAGATGAGAAAATATCGTTTTCA